ATAATGGTGATAGTATGATGGTGGGTTTTGCAGTCACAATAAAATGCCCATTTTTAAACTTCAAGTAAAAAGAGTCCACTTGCCATGTTTCAATCTTCTGTGACCTTCAAGCCGGTCTAATGCTATTTCCAAAGGTTTGCGAAGCGCGCTCCTAAATTCCGGCTTTAAAGAACGCTCTGCAACAGAGACAATTAACTGGATCAGAAATAAAATAGCATATTTACAACATGAATCCTAAAACTAACACAGACAGCAATGAAATATTTAGAATACTGATAGCAAGTTTAGAACCAGTTTAAAGAATCTGACAGTTTGTGCAGTCGCTCAGCGTGACTACAATATGTGCAGCTGCTCAGGACAACTACAATATGTGCAGTCGCTCAGCGTGACTACAATATGTGCAGCCACTCAGCGTGACTACAGTATGTTCAGCCACTCAGCGTGACTACAATATGTGCAACTGCTCAGCACAACTACAATATGTGCAGCCACTCAGCGTGACTACAATATGTGCAGCCACTCAGCTTGACTACAATATGTGCAGCCGCTCAGCGTGACCACAATATGTGCAGCCGCTCAGCTTGACTACAATATGTGCAGCTGCTCAGCACGACTACAATATGTGCAGCTGCTCAGCTTGACTACAATATGTGCAGCCGCTCAGCACGACTACAATATGTGCAGCTGCTCAGCACAACTACAATATGTGCAGCCACTCAGCGTGACTACAATATGTGCAGCCGCTCAGCTAGACTACAATATGTGCAGCCGCTCAGCTTGACTACAATATGTGCAGCCGCTCAGTTGACTACAATATGTGCAGCTGCTCAACTTGACTACAATATGTGCAACTGCTCAGCACAACTACAATATGTGCAGCCACTCAGCTTGACTACAATATGTGCAGCCACTCAGCTTGACTACAATATGTGCAGCCGCTCAGCTGGACTAAAATATGTGCAGCTCTTCGGTATGGACATTGTATGAGCAACTAATCCATCTAGGCATAATATGACATATGACCTAGTTGTCTTGGTCACTGGGACTGTAAAGATGGGGTCAGAGATCTGAAGTACTGATGAAGAAATAGTTATGTTTTTGGGTCATTCCTTCAGAAACAGTAACCAGCAATCCTTTACTGCAATTTTGCATTTCAGTTTATGTAAAGGTTATGTAAACAGAAGGAATTCATTTCAAATTTGAACTGAGTCAATGACGTGCATACTTAACTCAGAGGCATACAGACTTCCATAAATTATGTTTATCTATTTATTATTATTTTTTTTCTCTGCTTAATGCTGTCAGGTGTCGCAGGCACAGGTAATGATCAGTTTCCAGAATAGTGCGTGCTCATCAGTTTGCTGCATGGTGATAATGTTCAGTTTTAGCACGTTGCTAATGCAATCTATTTATCTTCTTCTTCCTCTGCATCTTGATGTTTCCATTCTCATGGTGTATGCTTTTGCAAACGGTGATATAAATTATGTTTTCTGGAAAAAGATCTTATTCAATTAACACACACACATACATATCCCAAAATGCATTTGTGTCTACAGAACATGTTAAAAAGGGCTTATTACTTGGATTATTGTTGTTATTCACAAGGAACTTAATTGAATGCCTTCTTTTGTCGCTCTCAGTTTTGCAGTAACATTCCACCAGTTCATCAAGATGTTGCAGCTTGGATTTGGATCTGAGGAAATGTCAACAAACAACACATGAATAACCTTCTATTGATAAGACATGTTAAAGAAAATCAATAAAGCTCATAAATCTTCTTCTTCTTGTTCACAGGCTGTAAACTCCAGCCAAAGGTTCTGGTTCTTCGTCAACTTCTGGAATTTACTCTTGTTGCAGAACTTCAGTATTGCATACATATCCATTTTACAGATCTGATTTCAAAGGACACCACTAATTAGTCTACTCTTACGATACGCTTCTCTGGGAGGCACTGGGTCGATTCCACATCCACACATGCTACAGCTGCAAGCAGTACCAAAGCTGTCATACAGGCATAGTGGCCATTGCCCAAAGACGTCAAGTAATTAAAAACCCATAAATGTTGCACAACCAAATGTTTCATGGTGACAAGATTTAAAGAATCTCAACAAACAACGTCCGGCCATTTATAAAACCACTGATAGAAGTGTCGTTTAAAAAAAACAAAGTCATAAGCTGTGCAGTTTTGCAGTCAGAGATGGACATTACAGAACTTCATGTGTTTCACAGCCTGAATGGAGAGCTCATTAGTTTAATCAGGTGTACCAAAAATACTGAATAGGCCAGAATTTTTCTTACATGATATGTTGCAAGCAGCCATCCCCTCTTCTCAGAGAGGCTGAGCCATACAAGATAAACTGACTGATTTACTTATCTAAGAATCAACATTATAGCACAATAAGCATAACCACAGATGATCCGTCTCCAACAGCAATTGTCTTCAAGTACAGATGCTAACTGTTCCTGTAGCACACTGATTGTACAAACACTGTTCTCGTCCTCTTGTAAGTTCCTCCTTGCCGGACACACAACTCATTCCTCATTCACACATGTTATTTCATCTGACCTTGTGTTGTAATCAGCATTTGTTTATAAACGTCTTCAGAATGTCTCCTTTGCCCTATATGAGTGTTCCTGTAGCTATCATTTTTGTAGCCAGGAAATCCACTCTTTCATTTTCTTACACTCCTGAATATCCTGGACAATATATTCATGTTCCTGATGTGCTGATCGAAAGCTGAAATATTTTGGTCATATCAAGTGCCACGAGGGACTGGAACAAATTATAGCAGAAGGCATGGTACCAGGAAGGAGGAGCAGGGGCCGACCGACAGGAAGATGGGCACAGGATATAAGTGACTCCTTGAGTGTGAAAGTGCATGAGGCGGGAGAACTGGCGAGAGACCGAGTTTCTTTCAGGCAGACTGTGATAAGAGCGACATTCTGCAAAGGACTTACTACATGGTGATGATGATGATGTGCTTCGTGTCCACTCATGCCAAATTTGTCAATTTTTAACTTTCCTTCAATACTGACTGAGAATCAGACAATATAATTCCTCTCATGACTCTATTTTCTGCTATCCATTTTAGAGCTGCAGCTATAGCCTCCACCTCCATCATCATGGTTGAAGATGTAGATAAATAAGCACCATTTGGTTCTGCCATGATCTTTCCCTTCCCTCTAGCTGAAAATCCTCAGCCAGATCTTTCACACTGATGAACAGAACCAAAAGTGTGACCATTAAGCCCAGCGTTTTCATCTACCGGATGTTGGACCTCTATTTCTGCCATACCGTTACATTACTCTCTATATTCTCTTCCTAATATGATAATGACCTGAGGGAAACTGCTGTTGTGTGTGTTTGTTCTTGTCGACCCATTCCTGCCCATTATAAATTGGCTCCATTGAGACCACCAGACCAATGGCATCTTCTGCCAGTGACATCCATGACTTTCCTCTTTTCAACTGGTCTCTTCTAACAAATCTTTCAGACCGCCATGCACTGATAACATGCATGTACGCCTTGGCTTGGGATAAACTAACAGTGCAATGAAATCAATTATCTCACTTAAACATTTTTTTAACAACTTGATGCCACAGAAATCCAGAACAACCACATTTTCAAGAACACTAACATCCCTAGTTTATGCCTTAAATATCTCATTTTTAAACAACTTGATACCTTGGAACTCCTAAACACTACAATTACACTACAGTGTCAAGAACTCTGACTTACATATCACCAGTTAACTCCTTACATATCTCATTCTGAAATACCTTGATACCTTGGAATTCTCAAACACCACAAATGCTCACATTTTCAAGAAACTTAACTTACATGTCACCAGTTAACTCCTTGAATGCATTGAACTCATCTCTACTTTTGCGCATCATGAACCTCCGCCAGTCACTCCAGACAAACAGCTTAACCTCTGAGTGAAAGATACAAACAATAATGAATGGACAGTGTAATCATATTAACAACAGGATCATAACAATATATTTACATAAAAAGCACAACAATCCAGCCAAACTACATTATGTTGTTTTGTTTCTGACCCACTGTAGCCATTTATCTCAGACTGATCAATGACCTTTAATTGTCCTCAGCCTACTTGTCTTTTTTTTCTTTGCGTTCACTAGCTCTAAACTCTGGTGGAAAGTTCTGGTTGTTCGTCCACTTCTGGACTGCAGTCCTGTTTCAAAACCTGAGTGTTGAGTGTGCTCATTTGTATGCAGACTGTTGGTTCCTTGCCTCTCAGGCAGATGCACTTCGACTTTGAAGGAAGCTCCCAATTAGTCGACTCTTACGACATGCTTTTGGGTAGGCAGTGGGTCTATTGTTTTCCCTATAATAAGGCCCCGGATCCCTCACGGGGAAGCCTACTTCTAAAGCAATAGGAACGTCTCAGTCTAATACCTTATAAATATTAATTAACTGATGCCTCGCAAAAGAGATGGAATTCTTCTATTTGTTCGCCAGCTTTAGACTCTGGCAGAAAGTTCTGGTTGTTCCTTGACTTCTAGACTTGCACCAGAATTGGATTTTTGCGAGTACACCCATTGCACAGATCTGGTTTATTTGTATGCACATAGTTGGTTCCTTGCCTTATAGGCAGATGCACTGCAACTTTAAAGGAAAGACCCTAATTAGTCCTCTTTTACAGCCGAGTTTTCCAGGTTTCAAGGTCTGCTACTATCCCTGTTTTTTTGTTCTCCCTCCCAGTAGTTTTTCAGATAAGAAGAGCACAGAGGCTGTGAAGTCTACGACATATGTCTTCCAATCCGTACAATTTGGTTCCCCCTGAAATGCCACCCGCCCAAACCCGGGATCTCTCTACTGTATGCAGAGAGCAAGTATTTAGTACATTTCAGCATTCCGTGGTACCTGTCAACATACCCAAAGTTCTGAATTCCTAATCTTGAATTTCTTGTACATACGGCTGCATAGTCTGTTGTGTCAAGCATGCACTCTAAATAAAATGGTAGTCCTGGTTTCAGACTGTACATCTACTGTGCTTACCTGGCGTCAGTAACTTCTGAAGCTTACGTGAGTACCTGGACAGCCTCCTGAAGATCCAGACAGAAACAAACAGCACTGATTAGTTCAGCTGCACTGACTTCACAGTCACTGTGTTCACAATAAAAGCAACAATCTTTATTATCAATGATTATGTTCTTAACTCTACCAGACCCCTGGCCCGCTATTACAGGAATGTCCTAATCTGCCGCTAAACCCCTGGCCCGCTATTACAGGAATGTCCTAATCTGCCGCTAAACCCCTGGCCAGCTATTACAGGAATGTCCTAATCTGCCGCCAAACCGATGGCCCGCTATTACAGGAATGTCCTAATCTGCTGCTAAATGGACCACAATAATTAGGAATAAGAATCATTCCAAGTGGGAGCTCGCCCGAGAGAGGTGCGAGAGGTCCCGGGTTCAAATCCCGGACGAGCTCCCACTTGTAATAAATCTGATTCAACTTGGAATGAATCGTGGTCTACTTGAAATGATTCTTGGTTTGACTTGAAATGAACCTTGGTTTGCACCGACTTTAACGTCTAGGGTTGACAACACAAACGCCGCTCAGCTTCATTGTACCTTCTGTCAGTTTATTCTGGTCCATTTACTTCACTCGCGACATATTCGAACACTAACCATTCACAACATAAAAACTACATCTTCAATTACTACAACCGTCTTCCCTGACGTCTGATGATCGACTGACCACGAGGCTAGCTCGGGCTTCCCCTCGCTGGCTCCACCGGCCACAAGTATCTCGTGCCGTCACTTGTAGCACGGACTTCCTGCTTGCCACAATGTACTCGTGGAGACCATGCAAAGCAGGGTCATCACAGATAGTCATTCCAGATGTCTTGTGTTAAGATAAAATCTGTGTTGTTTAAATTGAAATTTTTTTTGAAAATTCACAATGAAACGAGTGATTGATGAACCAAGCACTTCAACAGGAAAGTAAATTAGGTCTAGGCTTTTCATAGTCCAACAGGTGATCGGTGCTTTGGTTTATTCAGACTCTGAGGAGTCATAATAATTTCAGCAGAGTCATTTCATGAAGAATACGTTCCCAGTTGAACTGACACAGTCAGTGAAGTTCGAATGATGAGGAAAATCTTGAAAATTATAAATCTAGAAATAGACTGATAGTAGAAAGGGGCGTGTCCCTCAAACAGCGACATCTGGTGCTCACTTTGTGAAACGAGGCTGATCCTGCTGAGTGGACTGGCACAAAAAGGTGGAATATTGGTGCTAGATAAAGGGTAAGCCTTTTTCTACAATGTCTCCAAGTTTCATCTTATTCTAGCCACTTGTTTGCATGTATCTAATATTTATGTATATCATGTTGGTTTTTTTCACGTTAATGCCCATGAGCTCCGAATTTTTTTTTTTTTTTTATTTAGAAGAAAAAACCCTATCCCCTGTGGAAATAAAAATCATAGTACTCAAGGATCGTGAAACAAACATGATTTCCTGTGTGGGTTCCAGAGGCCAATTTGGGGGAGGGTGGGGGAAAGGACCTACTGCCCCCCCCCCCTAAAGAAGCATGTCACAAAGGGTGACAACATCAATGTGAATTTAAACTCAAGAGCTGCAGGCAAGAGTCTAGTCACTACACTATGATCTCTCCTTCAAGGACAGTCAGCCACAACAATTAACACAGCAGCAATGTGAAAGTGTGCCATTAGCAAGCACCTGTGTCCTCACTAAGAATCGTTATGGAACAATACTCACAGCTCGGACGTGTCATCCAGACCCAGGGCCAGCTTCAAGGCAAGTATTATGTAAGTCATGGCAACCACCTCCTGTTTGTTGTAGCCAGTCTTTGTAGTGTTTTTCCACAAAAAGGGAACCATCTTCATTAAGTGTAAACAGTAGGTTGCAATTTCACCTTCATGAGAAATGAGACATCAAGAATATTAACAAGTCAAGACAAGCTGAATTAGACTGAAAGTTGACACTAACTTTAACCCAATCTACCCAAGACATTTGTGCAAAATAACAAGACACTAGGTCAGATGAGGTAAGTTTTCAATACTGAGACTCAAAATTGTGATGTAGAGGCCCTTTGTAGAATGATACTTTCTCTATGGTCTGAAGGAAACTTTTATGTCTCTGTCAATTCCTGTCTCATGTTATGGTGCATTCATCACAGTCTGAAGGAAACTTTCTATGACTCTGCCAATTCCTGTCTCATGTTATGGTGCATTCATCAGTCTGAAGGAAACTTTCTATGACTCTGCCAATTCCTGTCTCATGTTATGGTGCATTCATCAGTCTGAAGGAAACTTTCTATGACTCTGCCAATTCCTGTCTCATGTTATGGTGCTTTCATCATGGTCTGAAGGAAACTTTCTATGACCCTGCCAATTCCTGTCTCATGTTATGGTGCATTCATCATGGTCTGAAGGAAACCTTCTATGACCCTGCCAATTCCTGTCTCATGTTATGGTGCATTCATCACAGTCTGAAGGAAACTTTCCAATTCCTGTCTCATGTTATGGTGCTTTCATCATGGTCTGAAGGAAACTTTCTATGACTCTGCCAATTCCTGTCTCATGTAATGGTGCTTTCATCACAGTCTGAAGGAAACTTTCTATGACCCTGCCAATTCCTGTCTCATGTTATGGTGCATTTATCACAGTCTGAAGGAAACTTTCTATGACCCTGCCAATTCCTGTCTCATGATATGGTGGTTTCATCAAGGTGTGAAAGAAACTATGAACCTGTCAATGCATGTCTTTTGTATTTTTAGTTGCCTCTGATGTCTTGTGTCTGTTTTTCCCCTTCTTACAGGAACGTCACCCACTACTGTTCGTAATAACCACTCTGGCATTTAACACATAAGTGAGTAAAGCAAAGGAAAGAAGAACCTGTTTAGTGTATCTGGCATATGTCACTTAGTGCTACACCTATATTTATATTGACCAATCAGTGCTTGATTTGTTCGTTGTGAAGAGAAACCAGAGTGACATATAATATATCTATATATAATTTCCAGTTTCGTCCTTTTTAGGACGAAATTTTTTGTTATTTGAAGCCCCACCCTGGCTATTTCCAGGGCCGCAATATAGGCAGGCCATAAATATGGCCAATTGTCGGAACATGGTTTCTGGGACCTCTCCACGGCGATCCTCATCCGCATGGTGGCACTTTGTGTCATTGGGTGTTTATCGCTTGTGTGATGTCCTGGTGGGGTAGAAAGTCAAATCAAGTCAGTGCTTGATGGGTGATGTGTTCAAACTCTACTTCCAAGGAGATTACCTGGTACTCAGTTTAAATTCGGCAGACCTGGACGACAAAGTCAAATTTGAAAAGAAGTTTGCCATGATGTGGATCTGAATCCTACACCTTCAGGTTGGCAGGCGAACTGACAGAAGTTTTTCAATTTCTAAGACCTGAATTGTTTATGATAGTTTTCTTCTATAAGTAAACGTGAAGGACCCTTTTCCCGCCTCTGGGTGTAGGAATTGGGCATATAGGGGGAAACGATTCTCTGACTCCCTAACAAGCATGAAATAAAAGGTGACTATCTAGGGGTGTTTCCATCAAAGTCGGAAAGCATCTGCTGGAAAGGCCAGGAATCAACAGTCTACATACAAATAAGCTTAATCTGCAAAATGGAAGTGCAGCCTGAAGTGAACAAACAACCAGAACTTTCCCCCCAGTGAAAGCTAAGAAGACAGGTTTCTAAGACTTGGTGTTGTTTATGATCCAGCTTTCCTAGATTATGTAGAAAACAGTATATTTTTTCTTCTTGATTCATGGTGTATAGTAAGACTTACATGTGAATACATTAATATAAACGTTATAAAAATGACTAACAATGTAAATGACAAGATTTGTTTTAAAAAATCTTATTTTATTTTCTAAACTATTGGTTACGAGGCAGTTGAATAAATCCCCCATGCCAAACAATACATACAGTTGAAATCAAATACCTGGCAAACATAATTCCCGCACAAATCGAGGAACAAGGACAGTAAGGTCAGGTCTTGGCATTTTGTCAAGCTGCAGGTAGGCCAATAATCGATTGGTCTCTATGATGAGAGCATTTGAGTCCAATCGTATCTGTGAATATTTTTTTGAATGCAGTGTTAAAAAAAACATACAACTACTGCTTAAAACAGATGTTAATGACTGAAACTTTTAGCATGAAAATAATGGAACAATTCTGCATAAACGTATCTGCTCTTTCTCTCTTTTTTTTTCAAGTAACCTCAGCAAAGTGCAGGGAAAGATGTAATGTTTGCCTACCCTGCATAGGTTCCAGACTTGCTGAAATCGAATGTTGGGCCAAAAAAGCAAAAATACTGCAGCCTAACTGTAGACCACAATACAATGTGTCAACCACCATTTTTAAGAGTGAATGCAGAAGAAAAATGATTGTCTGTGTGCTCTTTCTAATGTTCTAACTAGATGTATTTATATCACATATGCCTCAGGGTCTCCTCACAATAGTATGATAAAAACATATGAAATGAAGAAAAAAAAATGAACAGAATGTAAAGAAGCAACAAAAGTAGTTAGGCACCAAAAGTGAGAAAACATGAACAATAATGTCAAAGATCCAACCCCATTTGGAAGCTTACCATCAAAACAATGAATCCATAAAGTTTTTTTAAAGAACTGAAGGCTGGCAAATGTGGGCATCAACATAGCATATATGGTTTAAAAGATCACAATGGAAACATGATAAATAATAATGAGAAAATATGTAACAGATGGAAGGAATACTTTGCTGAATTGTTTAACTCACCTAAATACTTGTAGTCTTTACAGCAGGAAGAAATACTAACATGAACAAAATGTTGAAAAGCCTGATTTTGTAGAAAGCTATGTACGTCGTAACACGGCTTAAAAATAATAACACAACTGGTGCAGATGGAATTACTGCTGAGATTATAAAAGAAGGTGGCCATGCATTACATGTAAAGATATGAATTAATAAAACTAGTTTGGAAGATGGAGAAATAGCCCCATGAATGGAAAGTGTTTTTATTAATACCCATTTTTAGGAAAGGAGACAAGTAGAAGTGTGAAAATTATAGAGTAATATCACTGTCTACAAGCTTCAAGATATTATCAATGATACTGCTAAATGGGCTAAAGCTAAATGTTGAAGATATGAGATTGGGTGAATACCAGGCAGGGTTCCAAAAGAACAGATCAACAAAACATCACATGTTCATATTATGGCAAACAGAGCAACACTGGGAATATAGAAGAAATGTAGATGGTGTTCTTGTGGATTTTTAAAAGGCATATGATTGTGTACATAGAAACAGTTAATGGAATGCTATGAAGGACTTTCGAATACCAAAGAAGTTAATCATCATGACCAAACAATGTATGGAAGACCTTCTTCATTTTCGCATTCACCAGCTGTAAACTCTGGCGGAAAGTTCTGGTTGTTTCAGTCTTTTTCCACAATCGGTGCGTTGCGTCTGCATTCATTTTACAGACATGACTAATTTGCATGCAGCTGAGTTATGAGCTGAATTATCTTCACAGCATTCTGAACACACCCACAGGTGCTCAGATTCCCCTTTCAACATATTCATCAGCGGTGCGCGGTTAATAATGCCTGTCCTATGCTGGCTGACAAGACTATAAGAATACTTGGCTATACAGATGACACTGATATTCTTAGAGAAAATGAACTAGAGATGTTCAAAACACTGACTCTCTCAAAGGAAGCAGCTACAAAAATTGAATTAGTTATCAATCATGAGAAGACAAAATATATGACATTAACAAGACTGGGCAAAGATAAGAATTCTGGCCACACACAAATCAATAACATGCAAATCAAACAAGTGGAAACATATAAGTACTTTGGGGGTGAACTTCAACTGCTCCATGGCACTAGAGAAGAAAGACAATCTAGAAATAAAGTATACTATACCCTACAAAATCTGCTAAAATCAAATCTCTGCCTTGTAACACCTTGATCAAAACATTTAAAACACATAATAAGATCAGTTGTCCTATATGGCGCTGAAACTTGGAGCACAACTGAAAGAGATGAAGCCTTGCCGCACCTTTTTAAAACTAAGTCTTACGATATGAGAAGCAATAACAAAATATATCACTGGTATCATATAGATTGAGGTAGAAAAAGGGTACACAAAGGAGATGACTGGTCATAAATTATGAGGCAGACCAAGAAGATGGAGAGATAATATACAGGCAGACGTACAAACACCCAGAGAGGTCAATGGAGGTGGGTGATATTTGCAGCAATGAACTTCAGGGGCTCCGAATGCTGAAGAAGAAGAAAGGCTCTCCTCTACTTATGAAAGAGTTCTGTCCCAACAAACAGGTCGTAAGTTGAATTTATACTTTTAACACCGTAAGTATTCTGTTACAGACTAGAGGTAATGCAATGTAAAATAAAATTAAAACTAAATACTCACAGATTCAAAAAGTTTGTTGTCATGGCCAGAAAGCACCATGTCTTCTGGTAGCAGGTGGGTCACAGAAAGAAATGGAACCTTACTTTCGTAGACAAACCTGTCAGGTGTTAGCATGCAAGCAATAAGTCAACCAAGTGTCTGGAATCTAAACATACTGTATGCAAAAAACAATAATATAAACTAGCGTGCCCTCTCCACAATGAAGGTTTGCACCCATTGATGTCTTTGGGAATATTATGAAGTGAGGCGTGGAGAATACATGAACAACATCGTCATGGATATGGAAGCTAACCATCAGAACAACAAATCTAGAAAGTTTTTTTTAAAGAACTGAAGACTGTAAAACAAGGACATCAAAAAGGCCTTTATAGTTGAAAAGATCACAATGGGAACATAATAAATGATAATAAGGAAATATGTAACAGATGGAAGGAATACTTTGCTGAATTGTTAAATTATGAAACTCCACTTAATACTTATCCACAGAAAGAGATATTAACATGTGAAAAAAATACTGAGGGAGCCTGATTTTGAAGAAGTACTGTATGTCATAACACAGCTCAAAAACAATATAATAAAGCAACTGGTGCTGATGGAATTGCAGCTGAACTTATAAAAGAAGGTGGTCATGCATTACATGTAAAGATATATGAATTAACATAACTATTTTTGAAGATGAAGAAATTACCCCATGAGTGGAAAGTGTCTTTATTAATACCCATTTTTAAGAAAGGAGACAAGTATAAGTGAAAATTATAGAGGAATATCACTATTATCTACAAGTTATAAGATACCATCGGCAGTACTGCTAAACAGGTTAAAACCATACGTCGAACACATACTGGGAGATTACCAAGCAGGTTTCTGACAGAACAGATCAACAATAGATCGGATATTCATTTTACGGCAATTAGCAGAGAAAAATTGGGAATATAGAGGTACATAATGTCTTTGTGGATTTTAAAAAGGCGATAGTGTACATAGAAACAGTTTATGGAATGCTATGAAGGACTTTAGAATACCAAAGAAGTGAATTACCATGACCAAACTATGTATGGAAGACAGTCGTAATATAGTGATATATAAAGGCATAAAGTCAGACCCTTTTCAAAAAATATCTGGTTTAAAGCAAAGTGATGTTCTGTCCCCACTTCTTTTCAACTTGGCCCTGAAGAAATTTATAAGGAAATTGAAACAAGAGTGTACTATAAGAGAATCTACAAGAATACTTGAATATGCAGATGACATTGATATTGTTGGAGAAAACAAATTGAGCGTTAAAACACTGACTCGCTTAAAATAATCAACTCAGAAAATGGGACTAATTATCAATCAAGATAACACAGAATACATGATAATAACTAGACAAGGAAAGAATATAAACTCTGGCCACATACAAGTCCATAATATAAAAATCAAACAAACGGAAACATATAAGTATTTAGGTGCAAACTTCAACTGCTCCAACATGCTGAGAGAAGAAATACAATCTGGAAATTGAAGTAAACTATGCCCTTCAACATCTGCTAAAGTCAAAGTATGGGTCTTGCAACATTAAGATCAAAATATATAAAACGTTGATTAAACCAGTCGTTTTATTTGGCTCTGAAACTTGGACACAACCAAAAGAGATGAAGCCCTATTACAGGTTTTTCTAAAACAGAGTCTTACGACGAATCTTTAAACACATCAAAGATGCAAACAGCGGGGAATGGAGAGTGAGAAGCAACAGTTAGATTCATAATCTGTTTAAATCACCATTTATCACCGGCATCAGGAGAATTAATAGACTAAAATGATTGGGGCATATTGAAAGAATGTCAGATGACAGAGAAGTAAAAACTGTATACACAAGGGAGGTGAATGGTCATAAACCACGAGGCAGACCAAGAAGAAGATGAAGAGATAATGACCAGACAGACTGCAAACACTCGGTGTCACCAACTGGAAAGAGAAGGCCAACCACAGAGAAGAATGGAGGCAGGTGATATCTGCAGCAATGAACCTTAAGGGCTCGGAATGCTGAAGAAAAAGAAGTTTCACACTATGACTTTTGATATTTGAGCATAATATGCTTGATATATATATATATATAATACAACTGCCATGCAAAAGCTGAGTGTTTAAATGGGCCCAATTCAAGACGGGCGTGCATACACAATTTGTAACCCTTTGGAAATAAAGTTTGTTCATAAATTTTTTCGTATTAAATGTTTAATATGTACAGTACAAAACATAAGAAACATTTATAAAGTACTGACCTGTACTAAAAGGTAAAAAAAATATGAAAAAGTGTGGGGTTTTAGCATAAAAAAATGTTTTAAATAAATTTAGTATTTCTGACATATCCACTTTTTGTTATCCAGCCTACCCTTCCGCCACATTAGGCCTAAAACTGCAGAGTCTACTGCATTTTAATCAGGTTCTGGGTATAAAGGGACCAAACAATAGACTGCACAATTTATTGCCTGGCATATTTCGCTGTATCTCGTCAGGTGCATACTACAGTAACAAGTGAATAAATGAAGCAAATAGCTGAATCCTAGAAACTGAAACACAAATTCAAGTACATTCTACACTGTCTGTTTCACCAAGGTAACCTTAAGGAAACTACCATTTCTTTCTGCCTACAGAGATCCGGTTTTAACCGGTGGATCGCGGAAGCTTCCGCGTATCTGAGTAATCTACGGTTGGCCGATTTGTAAATAATTCGAAATGCATCATCCCTGTTAATGATGTGCCCGGAATTTAGAATGTGGCACGCAATTGCTGATGATGGATATTGTCGACCAGTCACCTGATTCGTTGTTGTTGAGGTGTTAGTGTTTTGCATTGCTTTTACCAACCATAGTGGAATATGTTCAGCAACCCGTTTCTCCAGTCGTCGATCAGTTCTGCCCACATATGCAGCGTTACAGGTGCATTTAAATTGGTATATACAGTTAGATCTGGCGTACGTCGAGACTGGTTCTTTTACAGGTGGCGTAGGAATCGTGGTGGTTTTGAATCTCATAACGGGCATGGCTGCGTAAAAGGTTTGACCGACTGCTGTTTTGAGTCGGTCATATACACGTTGCATGCCAGGCAATAAATTGTGCAGTCTATTGTTTGTGTCTTCTTTGTTCAAATTCACATCGGGGAAACATTGCTTTGTATAAAGGGACCCCCAATTTTAAACATAAAACATTATCTTAAACACGGAAAAACACAGTGCATACCTGACAATATCACAAGGCAGAAAGTTTGGGTTGGTAAACATCAACCCAATGTAGCATACAGCTAATGTTTTACTCATGTTCATCCACTCTGGTGACCTTATTGCCTGCGGGACATTGATGAAAGAGTTTTATATTTGATGCTTATAATTAAATCAAAACACACATATTTCACATATAACCACAATAAAAACACAACTATTTCCTACTGATGTAATAAAAATTATTTTTAAAAAAAATTTTAAAAGCACTAGTGTCAAATTATTTTTCAGTAGTCAGAAATGACAATAAGCCAGAAAACATTTAGTTTTCACAACTAAATGGCAGACCGTCAAAACTATTTGTCTGTTTTTTTTTTCCTTCTCCCAAACAGTTTATGCACGCATATGGTCTGTTTTAAAGCAGCTGACCTGTGGCCTGGAAACAAGACTGTTCCCCCTTGCTAGTTGACCTTTCAACCTCGCTAGTTTATCTTCATGCATTTGTTATGCTCTGAGTATCTTTAACTCCCTAGCTCTATAAGGCTCATTAACATTTTAAAAAGACATTCTCACAAAGCATGTTAGAAAAGAACATGTCTTTAAAATTATCTGAAACTCTACACCCAGTGGAAAGTTTAACCGAGCACAGAGTCAAAGCTTTTGGCGTGATCATGTATGGAAATCGTACCTTTAACTCCCAGGTGCAAACACTTGTTAAACAAACAGCTAAAAAAAATACCAACTTTCTGGTAGAATTCTAGTTTTTTCCCTTACTTCTTGATACATGTAATCTACAAACTGTTCTGTAACATTTAAGTTCCAAAGTTCTAATGCCATAAAGCCTGCATGTCAAGGTTTTTAAAGATTTTTCATCTGACAAAAAAAAAAAATGTCTCTGAGACTTAGAAAATGCTTCCATATTTGAGAGACTTGGAAAATGTTTCTCTATTTAAGAGACTTGGAAAATATTTCCATATTTGAGACTTGGAAAATGTTTCTCTATTTGAGAGACTTAGAAAATGCTTCCCTATTTGAGAGACTTGGAAACTGTTTCCCTATTTGAGAGACTTGGAAACTGTTTCCCTATTTAAGAGACTTGGAAAATGCTTCCGTATTTGAGAGACTTGGAAAATGTTTCCCTTTTTGAGAGACTTGGAAAATGTTTCCCTATTTGAGAGACTTGGAAAATGTTTCCCTATTTGAGAGACTTGGAAAATGCTTCTGTATTTGAGAGACTTGGAAAATACTTTCGTATTTGAGAGACTTGAAAAATACTTCTGTATTTGAGAGACTTGGAAAATGGTTCCCTATTTGAGAGACTTGAAAAATGGTTCCCTATGTGACAGACAGGGAAAATGGTTCCTATTTGAGAAACAGGGAAAGTTTTTTCCCCTCTGAGAGACTGGCAAAACGTTTTTTCTTTCTGAGAGACTATGAAAATGTTTCCCATGGTGAGATATTCCGAAAATGTTTTTCTGAGAGACTGGGAATACGTTTTTCTATCTGAAAAACTGGAAATATGTTTTTCTATTTGAGAAACACTGAATATGTTTTTCTATCTGAGAGACTGGGAATATGTGTTTTTAATCTATCTGAGACAGAGAATGTTTCCCCTTTCAAGAGATTTGGGATATGTTTCCCTAAATGAAGATTCCTGTGTATAACAGAGGGAACTAAAAGGTGCTAAAGAATCACTGATGTTGAGCTTTCCAAAAGACTAAACAAATTCCAGGTAATCAAGATTTGTAGAAAAGACGCTGGCATTGGATAGGGCAGACACTGAGAAAACCTGAAAAGAATATATCTAGAAAAGCTTCTAACTAGAAAATACACATAAAAACACAGAGAAGGAAACTAAAGAGTGAAATTAAAATGATATGAAGAGGGGGGGGGGGGGGGGGGCATGGGGACATTAGGTATGGTGAGCAAAGGATTGGATGACTTCGTGCAAGTTGTCTGAGGAGCTATTCTCCATCTGGGGATACAGAGTAGAAGAAAAAGAATATGAGAGACTGGAAAAATAATTATCAAGATTAAAAATATGTATCCCTGTCTGAGACTAGGACTGTCTTTCTGTATAAAAGACAGAATATGTCTACCTGTCAGAGAGACTAGGAATGTGTCTCCCTGTATAGGAGACTGGAAATATAGAAACATGTCTCCCTGTCTAACAGCCTGGAGTAATATCTCCCTGTCTGAGAGACTGTACCTCAGGAAAACTACCCACTTCTTGGTGCTGGAACAAAAGGTTGAGAAATAATAGAAAAATCAAGAATAAATATAAAAGAATCTAAAAAAAAAAAAAAAAAAACACTTAGCCAATCTCTAAATGCAGTACCAATCATGAAAGTAATGACCGTCATAAGACAGATACAACCAAACTAACCATCAATTGTACTGAGCTGTGTCTCAATTTCATGCCATTGTCCAGGGATTCATTGAGAAATACAATGTTGTCCTTCTTGTCATCATCCACTTTATCTCCTCTGTAAATATTCCCATTGCTGTCAACCTTCTTAAAATAAAATAAAACAACAGGAGATATGTTAATGCAAGTATTAATATTGGAGGGGAAAAAAAAAATCACTGGAATTTAGAGCAAGCTTCTGTGGCCCTGAAGATTTTGGAATCATCATTTAGGTAAAGGCAGCTCCATTGCAAATGACATGTGAAGCTCAGGTCTTCACACATTAAAAGCAAACATGTGAAAATTATTGACATCTAAAGACAACAACACATTAAAAATCAGAACTGTCAAATGTTTTACATACCTAATTCAACTATATGGTAAAGAAACTTAGATAATGAACTGCTAAATTTGGCTTAATATGGGGCAGAATTGTTTTTTTTTTAATTTATTTATTTATTTTAAAACCCCACCCAGGCTGTTGTCAGCCCCCTAATAAAACATAATAGTAGAATGGAGCCTCTGAGACTTGTGCTCTCATCTGAATGGTAGCACTTTGTGTCACTGTGTGTTTATCACTCATTGTAGGATTGCGTGGAGTTGAACCTCATTCGATAATGAACAAGCAATTAAAATGTCAAACTTAAGTCTCTGGAAATGTCACTGAGAAGAACAGGTCATATTTCTTAGAATTAAAAATAATCAAATAGACAGGTTCTAAAGAAAATGGAAATTAAAAAGAGTTGCTGACAGAAATAAAAAAAAAAAAAAAAAAAAATTTCTTTTAAAGGAGACAAGTCAAATATTGCAGCTTTTTAAAAGACAACATTCTTTTAAAAAAAATAATGGAAGGAAAAAGGTGAAGGGAAGCGAAAAAAACAATTCAACATACCTTTGAAACTCTCTTTTCTTTTAAAGGTCTTTTAGTTCTATTGAGTGGATTATTGAGAGTCCCCCTGTTAAGTTCTCTGGAAATGGAACAACACCAGGCAAATGCAAAAAAATGCAATACTTTTTCATGTCAACTTGAAAAGATTATCAGGCATCTCCATAACTTTCATTCTCTAGTACAGTAAAACTTTGGTAACACAAACTGACTTAAGAAGAACACTTGGTTAACACGAACAACAAGTTGGTCCCAGCCTATAATTATAATTATTATTAGTCCCCATCTAGCAAGAATATTTTTAAAACATGAATTCAATGTTTGGTCCCTTGTAATTTATGTTACCAAGGATGTACGGTAGTATTAATCACATTGTGTGTTGAAATTAAAATAATAAAATTTTAAAGAAAATAATTAATGTTACAGACTGCTAAATTATGTTCCAAATGTATTGTCCCATGACAGCCAAAAAACTCTTCATTGTGTCTTTCTGGTTTCTATGGCAAATTCTCGTTTTGAAAGACTTTGATTTGAATACCCATGTTACTTTTAATATCATTCTGTAAAACCATATTTAGATGTTTAAACTGAAAACTTAGCGAGAACTTGATAAAAGAACAAGGAATAAATTCCAGGTATCAGGACATTCTTTTTGTTAATCTGCTCACTGCTGTCACTGTCTTACCTATCCTGATGGTGACTTCTTAGTCCAAGGACTATCTGATTTTGATCTATGATCCAGGTTTATGAAATGGTCAACAATCCCGAGCTCTTCACTTTCAATTAAGATTGCAGGCCTATCACTGACACACTGCTCCATAATTTGTCCTTTTTTGTGTGTGTGAACCTGAGAACAATATAACTAGAATGTCTTTGCACTGGAACCCACAGGATCACATAAATAAAGGAAGACCAAAAAAAAACACATGGAAAAGGGAGCTAGAGAGAGAAGTTGAAAAGATGGGGAGGGGATGGGGAGAGCTGCATGCGATAGCGAAGGATAGAACGACTTGGCTGACGGCCTATGTTCTATTGGGGGTTAGAAGGGCATGAGAAGACAGAAGGATCTAAGACTGCAGATATTAAATGTTGCAGCTACCCCGGTGAGTTGATTGTAACTACATCAATAATCACACACAAGACAAAGAAGATAGAATTAAAATTTCTCAGCCTTACCTGAATCTTCCATATTTTGTTTTAGCAACAATGTCAGGAACTAGTTTCTCATGTTTGCAAAATGCAACACCAAGCTTGGCCAGGTAATTAGCCCATATTGTAAACACAACATCCTATAATAAGATACAGATAAAAACAAATTAGTGATAAATTATATGAGACTTTTGAGTCATTCCAAAGAGCTAGAGCAGTTCAATTAGCTTTATGACAGAAAATAGCAGACAAGAGAAGCAACGAAGGACAGAAGTGAAGGTTCAATACCTAGAAAAGGTAGGAAAATATCCTGGGCTAAATAAACTGCATACAAATAAGTACAAACATTTTTTTTCAGGGTGCTCTGAGGGCTGACTGGGGAGGGGGGGAAGGCATGTATGGGAATTGGCAAAATCACATCATGTTGCCTAGAATTATTGAAAACCTAACATTTACATCCCAACAGCTTTATCTGCTATGGGACCATCTTTAATTTAATCATCATTTGATCAGATGTCGGAAATATAAACGTATCTGATGTTAATAAGCAAACTATGAGTTTCAGACCGCACTTATCTATCTCTAATAACCCTTTGATCCTGTAAAGTATGTAATCAAGCATTCCCATCTGCTAAGGGTGTTTCTAAGTTGGAGTGCATCTGTCTGTGAGGCAAAGAACCAACAATCTGCACAAAAATAATCCAGATCTGTAGAATGGATGTGCATGCAACAATTCATGTTCTGGAATAAGACTAAAGTCCTGAAGTGGAAAAACCACAATTTCCAACCGGAGTTTACAGCTGGTGAATGCTAAGAGGTATTTCTTTTTAGGCCGAAGGGACTGTTATTGTTAAATTCTCCGCTCTGCTCGTTTTTGCCAACTACCCCCCGCTTGCATTTTTTTAAAACAGCTATTAGTGATGAATAGGATTGACGGGGGGGGGGGGGGGGGGGGGGTGGGGGGGGGGGGGGGGGGGGGGGGGGGGGGGGGGGGGGGGGGGGGGGGGGGGCGGGGGGGGGGGGGGGGGGGGGGGGGAGGGGGGGGGGGGGGGGGGGGGGGGGGGGGTTCCAAAGTTTTAAGGGTGCACCAATCCTCCAACTTTTTGCCTAGCTCAGCTTCCAATTATCATGCATGCTCAAAAAAAAAAGCTTATTTTTTGGGGGGATACGATGAGGATAATAAACATAGAAAAAGTATACACGCATACAAGTATATTTCTCACCTTCAGATCATCTCTGGCTCCTAAGGCAATTAAACTGTCAGCCTGAGCCAGTATAATTATCTGATATGCTTCGTATATTGTCCATGGTCTTCCAAAACTTGGCTCTGTTCAAAGGAAAACACACTTTAAGCATGCAGAAGAATGTATACAAATAATAAGAAACCAAGTATGGACTCCACTTTGTGATGAGTCACCTGGAACCACTTATGCTTATATAACAAACTTTTTTCTACTGCTATTGCTTAACAGATTAACTCATACCTTCTTGTCTAGAGGGTCTCTGTGGCGAAGTGGTAAAGCCGTTTTCCTCACACTCTGAAGGTCTTGGATTCACAAGTGCAATTTTAACGGAGATTCCTGGGGATCGTCGCCGGAGTTATGGAGGTCATTCTCTCTGCAGGCAGCTAGCTGTTTTGCATAGAGAGACTGAGCCATATGGGATAAAACCCGGTGCAATGAAGTAAATCCCCTTACTTTTACCTTTCTGTCTTTCCTGAGAAAACTGTTATATTGTGCTACAGAGAGAGAGAGAGATGAGAATCACAAGCAATGGCATGTGTGACTAGCAAGACTAGCTCATGTTAAGAAAAGTCCTCCCCAATTAGAGTGTGAGATTTCAGAACTACTGTTGCCACAGCTTGGATTTAGCATGCTCCTTCTCAGACAGTCCACTCTTGAGCATGAAGAAAACTGATGCGATACATGACCTTCCTAAAACCTCAGTATCTACAATCTTGTCTAACATGATACTCATTCTTTTTCTTCATAACATACACTAACTGTAAACTGGTGGAAAATTCTAGTCATTCATCCACTTCTAGACTTTAAGCTAGTTCATGCACATCTGTTTTAACCGTGTGCAGACCGTTGGTGCCTCATCCACACTCCCACTTTGCAGGAAACACCCCTAAATAGTCATCTGATATGACATATGGTGATAACATAACCCAAAAGGCGATATAAAAATGACCATCTGTCGGTGGCGCGGTAGCTTGTACATTTGCCTGCCAAGAAACTTCCAGGTTCAGATGTTTAAACAGTGAAAGGCCCTACTTCACTGCATTATTGTTTTAATCAAATACGGCCATGTTTATCCCCATAGAGGCTGTTGCAAAAGCATGAGACTCTAACTCCAGTAATCCCCCTCTTGAGTTTAGTTGATTTAAGAACCGACATCACAGATCTCGGAGCATTCCCATAAGCACTTTGTCCCCATCTTCAGCAACCAATGCAAAGCTCCAGTACTAATGCTGCCAGTTCCAATCTCATTTTTGTCCATCTTGTCTTTCCTCTGAGCGTCAATCCTCGGCCAGATCCCCGTGTCACTCCTCGCTGCCTTCACTCTCATCAGACCGTGACAATCAATTTTCGGTTTCAAACTGTACACCGCTCCCATAGGCCTTAACTCTTTCGCTGCTGTGCCCTCAGCCAGCCAACGTAACCACTGTGCTAAGCTTTCCTCCTGTGCTGAATACCTTTCTCGCCTCCAAAAGCAGAAGACGCGTTTGCGGCGCGGGGTAAAAATTGTACACCTAAAATAAAAACTCTTTTGCGCTGACAAGTTGGACATGCTTGGGCTACGCCATAAAAACTCATTAACAAAAAGAAATACTACAAACTTACAAAGCAAACACAAAACACTTTGTAAGCAAATACATGGTTTTAAAAAAATTATTATTAATATCTATTTGTGTGAAATATTTCAAAACAAGGTGCGACACACAATGCCAAATCACAGTCCTTGCACATGTATCTGGGTTTCCCGTCGTTTTTTGCTTTCTGCGCATACCACACACTTTCTTGTTGGGAATTTCTTCCTTGATGTTACGGACTTTATTATTGAAGGGTAATGCATTTGTACTAAACGAAGTGGCAGATCTTCACTTTTTTGTTGTTGTCCTCCTACACTTTTTCTCTTTTCCTTGCAATATTTCTGTAGAATTTCTCTTACTAACATTAAGTGAAATTGGGCAACAGGAGTGTTTTTCCACACAAATGAACAGTATACCAACCATGCTTCACAAAGCAACAGGATAAAGTGTAACGCATCTAAATGCACCTTAATGCACGTGACATGATGTTTAATTAATTAATACTTCTGTGATCTGTTGCCGAAAGAGCTAAGAGCTTAAATTTAGAATTTACATTTAACATTATAATTGATAAAAAGAAATACGGCTTGCAGGAATTGAACTCAGGACCCTTTCGATTGCAAGGCAGGCGTGATACCAACTATGCTAGAAATTTATATGAAAATTAGTACCAAAAATAGGACCAGTATTGTACACTTTGATAGACAGACACAGTTTTGTCAGTTGTATAGTATATTAGAAACATTAGTATTAATTATCATGTCAGTACGTGACCATAACTTCATTTTGATTATTGGGGATTCATTTTAAATCCAGTCAATGTAGATAGCTGGGTCATATGGTCAGTCTTGCTCACGGCTAGAAGTACACGTGTCCGACGGCGTGCCGCGAAGATAGCCCAGCTCATATAACTCAACACGTTTCAAAGATATCCTTACTATTACTCCTCGAAAGAAACTCCATCAATTCTTCATTAACTATAATTAACCAATTTTCTTGATTATTTTATATATTTTTTAAAAAAAAACTGAAATATATTTTAGGGCAAAAAATATACCGTTCACCGACCATGCTTCTATGGTAACAAAGCAACAGGATAATGTGAAATGCATCTAAAAACACATAAACATACGTGATATGTGATTTCATTGTATGCAAATGTGTCACTTTGATCAGTTTTAGGTAATGTATATTGCCATTTCACTCGTTCTTAGCAGTGAGGGCACAGAAAACAGAAGACGAGTTAGCTCGTCCTTAGCAGTCTACCGGGCAGACGAGTTATCTTGTCCATAGCAGCGAAAGGGTTAACCACATCTGCCTTATGCGTCAGTATTCCACCTAGCTGTGCAGAGTCAGCCATTCTGTCCACCTGTTCATTTCCTAACACACTGACATCACCTGGAGAAAAGATCTAGGCAATGCTCTTGAACCCCTAGAGATCTCCAAAACACCTGCACTGACAAAATAGATAATGGAGGCCACAACCAAATCTTTAACTTTCATGTAAGAAGCAGATGTTTAACCATGTTGATTTGTTGAACCATACTGAAATGTTTAACCATGTTGATATGCCTAACCATACCGATTTGTTTAACCATGCTGATATGCTTAACCATATTGATCTGTTCAACTATGTTGATCTGTTTAACTATGTTGATATGCTTAACATAGGGGGCCGCATTAGCGCAGTCGATAAGAGGCTTGCTTTCAAATCCAGCTGCGACTCACTGCAGCCAACGATCAGTGTTCGAAACCGGGCGGTTCCCGAATTCACCCAGCCTCTAGGAAATGGGTACCAGTGTTTATACTCTGGTGTAAATGGAGGAACATCGCTGTAGCTACAGAGTTACGTGCGAACGGCGACCAATTCTTATCAGCTGTCCGTACTTAGTGGCAGAGCACTTATGTTTATAACCGTGTGCAATGACGCTGGTTCACATCTCCCGACTTTACCTTTTATATGGTTAACCATGTTGATCTGTTTACCTAGAGATAATTTTCTGTCTGACCAAACAACTCTGGGGACAATCCTGCTTTATATATCACAATAACTTTCAGAATTTCTAGCTACTTTCTTCTTCGAATGTGTTCATTCATAAAAAGGGTGCCTGGCAATCTGTGTTGTAGTTCACAACTAGGCCATGATAACTATGCCTTTCAGCTCAATACATTCACATCCAAATAAGGATTACTTCAAAGCTCAGTGGCTTTAGAATTATCACCTTACAAAACACATTTGGGAAGGTCCTGGAGAAGATAGTTGCTGTAAAGCTGCAAGCATTTTTGGAAAGGTGGGAAGCTTCTCCCAAGAGGTCTGGGAGGCTTTAGACCAGGAAAGGACACATGGGCAAATGCAGGCACTTTTGCTTTTGACGTCTATGAAGGGTTCCAGAACAGACAGGAAACTATGGCGGTAGCACTGGATCTCGAGGATGCTTATAACAGAGTGAGATACAACATCTTAATGACTGCACTGAAGGAGAATCACTTCCAGTTAAAATGGACGCTAGACAGCGGCGCTGTTCGAAGCAGAGGCAAATTTTTTGCTTCTGCCGGACGGTGGCCAAAGTATTTTTGCTCCATTTGTAGACTGGATATAGTTTCGTCGCCCAGTTTCTGAGTTGAATGCATGGCGTGACCCTGTGAGCTGCGGATTTCATTTGGAATGTTTTTTCGACTGTGACCAACGTGGTGGTGTGAATTGTAGAAGATTCAGAAAATGGCGTGATGCCTGTCGTGCAATGTTGGCGGTGCCCGTTTGTGATTACAATTGAAGCTATGAAGCTGAAACTAAGACTACCAGAATCACGTAACCACATGTACACATAATTCAAGATAGGCGTATCAGCCATGTGTACCTGTGGAAAGGTGCCCCAGACAGCAGAGCATGTACTCCAGGACTGCACCTAATTTCACACATTGAGACAAACCTTTTGGCCAGAAAGAACAACAGTGGAACGTAAACTCTAAAGTCGATGTAAGCGCGCATTTTAAGGTGATGGAAGTGCGCAATTGACACGTGACTGAGGCCCTGTTAGGGTATATTTTCCGCCTCGATAATTTAGGACTGTTATTCGGAAGATAGCCGAAGACTTTTACCATTGAAGCTTGTGAGAAAATCTCAGGTCATCTTGGCATTTTAAAAGCCTTTTAACACAAAGCAGAACCCCTTTAAGTGTTTTTAAAAAATTAATTTATTCATATCCTAACCTAAAAGTTTGTGCAGGCGTGAACGCAGTCAATTGCATTAACTGTACATCTCGTAAAGGGGCCACAATAAGCAAATCAGAAAGGTGACATTTATGGGGAACTGGGCTCAACCGGGAGTGGCGATTTTTCAGTTTCTTGGGGCGAAAGGTTTAATAGCAGTATCTAAGGGAGAACATTATCTTTAATAGCTAAACAACAGAGATACTGATCTAACATACTTGTTTTTTTTCTGGATGACTCAATTCGTGCTTGGCTAAGTTTAATCTCATTACCACCAAGAAGAGTGAAGTCATTCTGTGAAGCCTCCTGCAGTATTAAGTCCTGAAAAAAAAAATTAAGAGAACAAAAATTAATCATCACTGTTAGTTCTTCCCTCATTAGCTTAATGTGCTGTCAAAAGTCAAAAGGCACAATGAAAAGTAAAGGACCTCGCATTTTCTGTGAGGCCTGACAATTTACTTGGCTCTAAAGATGCCCATTATTCTTGGTGTCAGAGCAGCAGAGCTGCCTTTCATAAAAGGTTACAGGTCCCCCCTCCCGATCGGATTATAATTATAACTAAATTTTCTGACAGACAAATCAAAGAAGATAAATAAAAACACAGTCTTAGAAGTTAACACTACTACTACTAGTTTACTACAGTCTATAACGACATCCGTCATGACCGTCACCCGTCACCGTCATCATTCCTCACCTCACTCTGGGTTTGGCATTCTGTGCAATAATAAAGTCCATCGATTTCACTAAAGTCACTATTGCCACACACTCGACAATTAAAAGGCATGTTTTATGCCTCTACTAATCAGTTACAGTGGTGTGCACACCGTTCAAGTACAGGGTGCAAGTTTTATTTCACTGGTCTCAGCTGACATGTGTTGACACACGACAGCCAGCGGACATGGATCATGGAAGATTGCACCTTCCTCGTTAGAGAGTCACAACACAGTCTAGTACTCTTTCTTTTTCCTGTTCGTTTTTTTTTCCTGCTAGTGGTTTTAAGATGAGAATGCCACAGACCTCTATAAAGTCAGTGATGCGGCGCACGCCTTCCACTAGCCCACACAGATTAATTTCTGGCATTGAAATATCAACCGGTCAAACCTGGGATCTCTCTGCTAGTAGTAAACTGCAGGATGAAATGGAAAAATTCCTGCCAAGAGGTTATTTACTTGTTACTTGCCAGTCCTGATATTCCAGCACATCGGCCCGACCCATTCGTGCTCTCTTCTCTGATGCAGCCGCGATCTCAGTATCTCCATGCTAAACGTACCCATTAGAATTTTATCAACATATCTTCCACCTCTGCCCCCATATCTCCCTTCTTAGCCACCCCCCACCCACCCTTTTTTAAAATCGGTTTCTGCATGCTTGTCCTATTTTAATAAGGACACATAATCGGGGCAGTTTAAGGCCAGGAAAATATATCTTGTCAAATGCAGCCACCTTTACATTTGACGTTTAAGATAAGTTTCTGAATAGACAGGACACAGTGGTGAAAGCATTTGGTCTTGAAAATACCTACAGTAGAGGTGGTGGTGGTGGTAGTAGTTTTCACAAGCAGATACCTCAGAGTACTAAAGTGAATCTTATCAGAACTATTTTTTGGCCAACACTATGCTATCAATGCCAAACGTGGACACTTACATCCTCCAATGAACGTAAAATTGTGACAACAGAGATGAAAAACCTTAGAAGAGCTGCAGAAGTTTCAAGGAAAGACAGAATACGAAATCATGAAATCAGACGAATGCTAGGAATAAAGCCAATCTTACAGGTCATCAAAGAACAACAAATGAAGTGGTTTGGACACCTAACAAGAATGCACTCGTACTATCCGCCACAGCGAGCCACACTAAAATGTTACAAGGGGTATAGAGCGAGTGGGAGACCTCGGAAAATATGGAGTGATGGCATTAAGAACAGCCTTATAGAAATGAACATCAGTCTTAATAGTGCTCTTGACAGAGCCCATCAACGAACATTACATCCCCCCCCTCCCACCCGACACTTCGATGAGGTACAAGGTGGAAGAGAAGAAGAAGTCTTACATATAGACATAGGAGCGACAGGTAACAATCTGTTCTCAAGAACTAAAAGGCAACTGTAGACAAAGTGACTGACAGGTGTGCAGAAATGGGTGCTGTCATCAACCAATAATTGGCGACTGTTTTAAGGTGCTCTCTGGACAACAAAGTTGTAAAAGCTGTTGTTTCAGGTCTCACAATTCATTATAGAAACATTAAAAAAAAAAAAAAAATCAAACTAAGGTACCTATCTTAGTTTGCACACGAGATACACCAAGTAGAACTATGAGGTATATGCTTGGGCTGACATCAGTAAGTCTAGACTGTCACTGGTGCAAACTAAGGCTTATATGCGAGTTACCAATGATGAAAGGCATTCGCTGCAGATAATCTGATAGATTTGAGAGCAGACCAGCTGAAAAGAAGATAGACATAGATGGCACTAGTTGAAGATACCATTGGGACAGCGGCCTTAGTCGAGCAAATACACAGGAACAGGAATGGGTCAAAATGAACACTCGCAAAAGCAGTTTCCGTCAGGTCATTATCACTGTTTTTCAGGGGTCATGTTAAGACTTTTGCGGAGAAATTAACAAAAAAAAAAAAAAAAAAAGGGCAGTCAACGCAAATTATGGTAGCAATGGATATGGAAAAAAAATTGTTTCATAATATTCCAGCATTCGATCCTATCGATGACTCGGAATGCTTACCATGTCAAAGTGTCAGCTGAAGAAACTTAAACGCATACAGAATGAAGCCCCGGTAGTATGTATGCGATATTTACTTGCCCTGCTGACTATTAAAGACAGGCTCAAAGTACTGCGAGCTAAGTAATAAAATATTTCAGAGTAGCCACATATAAGAAACACCCCATGCATGAAGCCTAAGATAGAACTAAGGGTTACAGAAGGTCTTGGTGGCGCAAGCTGAAGAAACAATTAGACGTGTGTAGGCTTGATAACATTAGGCGAGGGGAATAACGGGTCAGAATGCCCCAGCAAAAGTCAGACTTGTTTAGGGTTCTGATCACAATAGGCGGTGAGTGCAAGGACTGGCCAGCTGGTGCTGCAGAATCAGCAGTTCGACAGATGATTCATGACAATTATCGCTTAGGTGATGTGAAAATCTATACAGATGACGCTTTGTTGAGAGGCAGACAAATCTCATTTGGGATTCTTAGAGAACGTAAATGGACGTCGCTTAGTGCAAGAAAGTCTGGCATATAACACCATACCATCTAGTTGAGAACGAAGATGGAGGCGTCAATGCAGCCTTTCGCTGGCTTGAGAATTAGCTGTACATATATTTTATAACTGTAACCGACTCACAGAGCATGTTGAGAAAGATGGAAATGGATATGGTCCATAAAAAGTAGCAAACATGGCTTCAGAGGTACCGGATAGATAGCGTCCTTTGGATATTTTCTCAGGACGTGCAGGTGTATTGGAAAATGAACAGGCGAATAGACTTGCTGGTTCTACGCAACTTGGTGGTCAACTTATGCACGACAAGCCAGATGTTGTAAGGGCCCTTTGGGGACGAGTGAAGAGTGCCGAAGCACAGATGAGTCATACATGTATTATGTATGTCTGTATGTATGAGAATGTATGAATGTAAATGTGTAAGTATGTGATTGTATCTGTGTGTGTATATTTATGTATAATGTGGGTGTATGCAGGTATATGTAGCTGTGTAGGTATGTGGGTGTTTGTGTATTTATAAAAGCATACAAGTGTGCATGTGTGTGTGATTGTGTGTGTATGCATGTGGATATATGAAAGTATATTTAGGTATGTATGTATGTGTGTATGTGTGTAAAGATGTGAGTTTAGGTATAAATGTGTGGATAAATGTATGCATGTGTGTGGGTGTATGTATTCATGTAAGTGTAAATGTGTGGTTTTGGGCATATGTTGGTGTCTGTACATGTAATGGTATATGTGTGTATGCATGGGTGCATGTATAGATGTGTATATATGGAATGCGTGTGTGCATGTATATCCATAAATGTATGTGTGTGTGTTTTCTGTTTGTGCATTTATTTCTGTGTATGTGTATGCTTGTATATGTATGTAGATGCAGGTGTGTATGTATCACGTATGTCTGTATATGAGTTCACCTGTATGAAAATGTAGATGTATGTATACGTGTGTGTGAGTGTGTATGATGGCGTACACACGATGTGTGTATGCATTATATATTTCTGTTTAAATCCATAACATGCATTATTTATAACAGGTATTAGTACTCTGAAAAATGAGTACTTAGAAGGGCCGAATGTCAGACGGGCCTGCGTGCCCAATTTGTAACCCTTTGAAAATAAAGTTTTTTCGTTCGTTCGTTCGTTCGTTCATGGTATGAAGAGAATGGTACTTAGAGGAGTGACCAATGGATCTGGTCGACGATCATCACTAAAGGGAAGGCTGAGACGGATGTACAATTATACTGCTATTGGTACCACTGGAATTGAAACTCTGCACTCGCTGCTGAAGATGGGGAGGGAGCGCTTATGAGAATGTCCCGAGTGCTGTGATGTCTATTCTTGATTCAGTGTGTAAGTGTAACAGACTCTGAAAGCATGCCGAGAAAGGTTAAGACGGGGATGCTTCGACAAGCTTCACTGGGAAGGTCACAGATTTTGAGCATACTTTGGATCTTTTCTCCAGGCTATGCCGGCGTAGTGGGTAATGAAGAGGCAGACAGATTGGCTGGATCTGCACCTCTGGGTGGTGAATTGATACAGGACAAGGCAGATGTGGTCAAGGCTCTTTGGGAACAAGCAACGGAATCAGTAGAGAAACAAGATTCTTATGGCCTGGAGTGAATGAGGCACCTGGGTGTGGCCAGAGGGTCAGGCAGGCTGACTACACTCAGAGGAAAGGCAAGGCGGACATATAAACAGATTGTGACCAGTACTATCAGTATTGGAACTCTGCGATGGTTGCTGCAGATGACGACGGAGTACACATGGGAATGCCCCGAGTGCTGTGATGCCAATTCTTGACTCAACTCAACTCTTTATTCAATATGTGAAGAAAAGGGCGAGGCGCGTACGGGAATATCCCGACTGAGTGCTATGATGTCGGTTCTTGCATAACGAAATTTAAAATAATGTTTCCCCGCTGTGAATATGGGGGAAAAAGCCAACATTATTAAATATTAGCTAACTGTTGCCGACGAAGATACAGATTAAAAAAAAAGTTGTGAACAAGTATGAATAGCTGTTATTTGACCGTATGTTGTGGACAGGAGAACGAACAATAACCATTATTAATCTCCCGAAGTTCTTCAGTTTTGATGTTTGTTTACTGTTTAGAACAGGAGGGTGCAAGACAAATCACACATTCTGCTGTTCTTCTCAAGTTGTTTGGGGATATTTATCATGCTTGCTGCAACAACTGCAAACGCCAAACAAAATAAAATATGAATTGAGAATCAGGCTTTTGGGTGAGCAGTATCATAATCATGAGCATGATGAGTGGACAAGGTCTCACAGAAGAGCAGAAGCAGAAGATTCAGGAAAATAGGCTGAGGGCTCTCGCAAGAAGAATAGAGAAGCAAAGCCCTGTAAAAAATAGTTCATCGTCACAGTTAACCTCAGGGGTGGTTGATCTGCATCCACCCAACATAAGGAGCACCAATTTTTATTCTGAGAAGCGTGATGTGAATAAAGGAAATTCAACAAGCAACAACACAGGGCCAAATAATTATAATTCGACCTCGTCGTCACATGGAAAAGATACAAATAAAGTCTTGAAGAAGAATGGAGTTTCAAACTTACGCGGAAAATGTGTTTATATAGGTAAAGACACCTTTTCTGTTGAAGTTGGATACAGCGCTCCTTTGCTTCAGTACTTTAAGCAGCTAACAACAAGACAATATGGTGAGTCCAAAACAAATGAGTATTTTCAGCTATCCTCCGAATCCGAAAATATACCCTAACATGGCCTCAGTCAAATGTAAATTTGTGGACCTCTTCCGGTGACTATATCGCAAGTATCTCCCGCGCCACTACATGCAGCGCGGAGTGGGGCTAAACTAGATGCCTGGGACTCACGAGCAAATAAAAGAGAGGAAGCTGCATAAGATACGGTAGCTGCTGCTCGTGAGTCCCAGCCATTTAGGTTAGCCCCACTCTACGTCGCGGTGTAGCGGCACAGGAGATACTCTCGGCAGTGACTTAAACTCGGCGGAAGCTTTTTCGCGGTATGCCTCGATAATTTGGGACCATTATTCGGAGGATAGCCGTTTTTTTTTTCAATTTGAGGATAAGTGTGGGATTACTGTAGGGGGTGGCAAATAATAAACCAACCATTCCCTGAACAAGCGAGTTGTACTTGCAGGAGGAGAATAATTAGAGGCATTTCCTTCGAAGTCAAACTCAAAGTGCATCTGCCTGAGAGGCAAAGAACCAACAGCCTACATACTAATAAGCTGGATCTGGTAACATTTGCATGAGAACTGAATTTCTGGAACAAGACCAAAATTCAGAATTGGGACTATCCTCCGAATAACGGTCCCATATTATCGAGGCCCGAAAATATACCCTAACAGGGCCTAAGTCACATGTCAGTTGTGGACTTTCGGCGACTACTGTCAATGTAGAGAGAATGCCGCTACGCGAGCGTTGTAACGGTTAGCTAGATGGCTGAATTTGATGGCAAATAAAATGAGGAACCTGCAGGAAACGCTGGGCTAGCTCCTGACGATAGTTGCCATTTATGGGTTAGTTCGCTCCAGGATGCTAAAATACGACTGGGAGATTTCCTTGCGGTGGAATGTAGTCACACCGGAAACCGCAATTTCATTGCTGACAGTCCGCAATTCTCATATATGAGGCCCTGTTAGGGTATAGATTTGGCCTTGATAAGTTTAAGGACCATTAACGGAGAATAGCCGCTAGTCTATTTCTTTCTAGTAAAAGTGATGGCTAGGGGAATTTTAAACCCTAGCTACTGCAAAGTGAGACAAGCTTGAACAATTCAAATATAGGGGATGACAATCGTGATAGAATGCACACGAGCTACACCAAGTAGAACTATGAGGTATATGCTTGGGCTGGGTGTCAGTAGTCTAACTGTCACTGGTGAAACTAGGCTTATATTCGAGTTCATTAATCCATTCGCTGCAGATAAGTAGATTTGAGAGCAGATATTAAAAAAGAAGATAGAATAGATGGCACAAATGAAGATACCATTGGGACAGCGGCCTATAGCAAATACACACTAACAGGAATTGTTTGAACACTGCAAAACAGTTTTTGTCAGGTCATTATCACATAATTTGCATGTATCTGTTCTTTAACAATTTGAAAAATTCAACTGAGGAAATGAAAAATTGATCTCGCAAATCATAGTGTACAATTACATGGGTTGTTCAATTACATATTATATCACTGGGATTATTATTGCTTGAAAGATATTACAGTGAGCAAAATATTTATATGTATATACTGTTCAGGACATTAAAGTGTACTTTTCATGACAGAGCTAAATTTCTGCCGTCTACCACAAGTGATAGCTAGGGGCTGCAAATGGAGACTCCAACAAGCATATGTGAACAAATGTTCTTGCCCTTGATAAGAAAACACTCACTCATACTGCTGTTCATCCAGTATCTCTTGATACAGTGAAATCCTCCCAATGTTAATGCTGTCTCCATTCTTGAGAAGCCTAGAATATTAAACCTTTTTCCTCTAGGAATGACTCTTTACAATACTTTACAGTCTTTTAATTTGATCTGGTTCTTTAACAACAAAAATTCACTCAAAAATTGATCTCGCAAATCATTGCAAATACATTTTAATTACATATTAATCACTGTACCTATTATTGCTTTATTACTGTGACAGTGCTTTGCTCATTCTGTTGACTTAAATGTACTTTAGGTCTACATAAATACTTTAAGAAAATTGTAAACATAAATTCACTTTTTAGTTGAAAACACAATGACTGTTGTTTTGAAGGGGAGTAGTTCTTAATTTCAACACTTGGAACAAGCTCACCATCTTCTGTTTTTTTTTTGTCCATGCCAGCGGAAGGATAAACATTGACTTTTTGGGTGAATATCAAACAAAAAATTCAGCGACAAAACAGGACTGATTTAAGAAAAGATGAATATTGGTGTGGACGAATATTGGAGTTCCATTGCATAGGTTTTATTAAAGGGCGCAGTACAATATTATTTGCTTTATTTCTGGGGCCAATAATGTTATTCTAGTAAGACTCAAATACACAATATTCTTATGGAAACGGAGCATTTAGTCAAGACTCAGATACACACTACTAGGGAAAGCTCAAATCTTACCAAAACCTAGATACACACTGTTATTATAGACTGTATAAAAAATGTGCCTTTCAAATGTATACATTTACATGATTTTGCATGTCTCAAGCTGTTACTCTGCAGTTTTGGCATACATTTATTATTCTCATATGTTGTACTTTTTGCAGACGCTTCAACAAAGGTCTGGTCTTTTAAGATGGAGGAATATAATACATTCAGTATGTATAGTTTATGTTATTGTGTATGTTGTAGTTTTTTGTATTTTGAAAGTAAACCCCTATATCATTTAAATAAAACTCAAGGGTACTTAATGTGCACCAAGTGAAAAGACATTCAAAGAAGGTTTGCAGAGTATTGTAAAAATGAAGAATACCCAGAGTATATTCAGTATTAACTGATGGTCTACAGCAACGGTTACTAATGTTTTTCAAGTTGCGACCTCATTTTATAGAGGCAAAGTGACCTGTTACCCCAAAAATGAAAAATAGGATTTTAAATAAAGAAAATGAAAACACATCAGAAAAAGACTTGGTTCTTTTCTGTTGTCACCACATCACGTAAGATTTAGGGAAATCTCATGGGGGGGGGGGGGGGGAAGGGGGGAGTTAGGGTTATTAATAGTTGCCATTTATTTAATACTAGCCCTAACCCCCCTATACTATGGGATTTCCCGAAATCTCGCATGATGTGGTGACCTAACAGAAAATAACCATAGACTTTCCTGCATTCGGTAAACAAATCTCTGCGGGATGCAGTGAGATGATTTAATTTCCGTTTTTAAAATGTTCCTAGCTCACCACTCCCTAGCAACCCCGCATAAAACCCATTTGGGGTTGCACCCCATGGATTGGAAACACATGCTCCACAGTATCATAATAGATAATTATTGTTTGCAGTATGTCTTCTTTTCTTCTTTGCATTCACTGGCTGTAAACTCTGGTGGAAAGTTCTGGTTGTTCATTCAGCTCTGCCCATTATTCACCACTGCTTTAATTACTCATTACAGAAACTTATAGGATGTTCCTTAAGTTAACAAAGATAGAAAAAATACACATTTTTTTAAAAAGGAAACAATGTTTACAAAATATGCTCTACGTGACCACTATTGTTTTGAAAATAAATTGTGGCGTGTGTCGTTGACTGCTGAGGAGCACATATAAGCACAGCTGGAGTTATGCTTGTAATGGCTTTGGTGATATGTTTTTTCTCCTTTGTATAGAAATGTATGGGGCACCTTCATTTAATGTTTAAAAAATTGATAAAAAAGTAATCATGTAGACAGAGGGAACAAATATTATATAATTTAAAAAATATAAATATACAACCTTTGATGTTATCACTTGCTAATGTCCACAGAGTGTATTTTATAAGAAAACTCTTTTTGTTGTTGAAACACTAATGTTTAATGTGAAATGTTTTTTCCCCCTAGTTAAAGGTGTGCAAAGCTTTCGGCCAGATATAGAAATTGAGAGTCTGCCGAGGTGGATTGTCCAAAACTTTGCTTTCACAAATAAAACAAATGTGGACGCGTTGCCTAAAGTTGATCTTAGTCGTGTGGATGAGAAGCTGGTTACAGCACTGTTGCCTTTCCAACTAGATGGTGTTAAGTATGATTCTGTTTGTCATCTTGATACAAGTAGATAAATAATCCTTGTTTTTGTTACATTTGTATATTTTTTATTTTTAAAACTCAGAATTTTACAGAGTAGAATACATTTGTATTTAGTATGTTTCTTCTCAGACGTTGTTCAGCTTTCATCCTTTCTGCACTCACTCATTCCTTCATTCTTACTCCCTTTCTGTTGTGCCCCCTCACAACCGCTTTAGTACTAGAAATAACTGCATAGTGTGTAGATTTAGTGGAAAGGATTATACATATTAAAATAGTAAACTGAGATATGTTTTTGGGAGATATCTTTTGGAGATATCTTAGGTAGATGCACTCCAGCTTCAAAGGATGCTCCCAGTTAGTCAACTCTTACAAGATGTTGTCATTGTGACGTCATGATAAACTTATGATGATCTTACTTTACTCTCTAAGGGTTTGTCAATAAAACCCCTGTTTTCTTTGTCAGAGAGAAGGAAAGCAGTTGTTTTTATTTGCTCCGTTTAAAAAAAAAAAAATATATATATTAAAAAAAAAATCACTTTTGTGCAAAATAATGACTCTAAATAAAATCCAATGTTTTGTGTGTGACGGACGAAAGGGGGTGTTACCCCCCTGAAATTTGTATAAAAACTGACCAAGACTCCAGATTTCTTATGCTTCTACTTCCCTTCTTCTACTTTCATAATGTAGAGTTTCAGAGAATTACAACAATGTGCTCTTTTTAATGAAAGTTTGAAAAAAGGTAATTGTTTAAGATTTGTACTGGACGAAAGGGTTAAATTTAAATTTGTTTGCACTAAAATAGCTTCTCCTCTTTTTTGTGCTTTCACCGGCTGTAAACTCTGGCAAAAAGTTCTTGTTGTTTGTCCGCCTCTGGACTCTAGTGCTATTCCAGAACCTTTGTATTGCATGTACCTCTGTTTTAAAGGTCTGACTCATTTGTATACAGACTGTTAATTCCTCACCTCTTAGGTAGATGCACTCCAGCTTCAAAGGATGCTCTTAGTTAGTCAACTCTTACAAGATGGCAGTGGGTCTATTCTGGTTTTCCCCACAACAGGGCCCAGAACCCATCCGGGGAACTAAAATAGCTTGAAACTGGCAGGGAGATCAGAAAACCATTGTTTAGTATACTTTGTTAAAAGTTATGATAGAAAAATGTTTACATTTGCAAATCAAGTCAGGTTGCTAAATCAGTAAAAGAGTTTACAGAAGCTATATTAAAAGCAACCAAAGAAACCATACCTAGGGGTTCAAGGAAAGATTACATCCCATTTTGGTCCCAACAAATTCAAGACCTCCACCAAACTCTCTCAGAAGCAAGAGATAGGGTAGAAAGCAACCCAACGGTAGAAAACAACATTGCTTACAAAGCAGCAGAAGCTAAGCTAAAAAAAGAAACACTTCAAGCAACTAGGAAGAGCTGGCAAGACAAAACCAAGAGCCTAAGTTTTGAAAAAGATGGGTCCAAACTCTGGAAACTAGTCAAGTGTCTAAATGGAGAAGCCCAACAAGCCAATCCAATAGTAATAAATGAGGGCAATGAGATCAGATCTGGAAACGATGCTGCAAATATCCTTTTAAATCAGTTTAAATCTGTTAGTGATATTAATATAGAAAAGTCCAGAGAAGATGAGGTAGTACAAAGAATAAAAGAACTCGAGGAGGCCAGCAAGAGTAAACCAACAGAGAGCATCATGACAGATAAATTCTCAATGAGTGAACTTAACACAGGACTTAACCAGCTGAAATCCAACCAAGCCCCTGGCCCCGATAAAATCACGAATGATATGTTACTACACATGGGTCTAAGTGCCAAAAATAAATTATTAAACATCTTTAATGCCAGCTGGATTTTTAGTATAGTTCCTCCAGCCTGGAGGAAGTCTGAAATCTTCGTAATCCTGAAACAAGGAAAGCCGAAGAACAACGCAGACAGCTACAGACCCATCAGCCTCACTAGCTGTCTGTGCAAACTATTTGAAAGATTATTGAACAACCGACTGACCTGGTTCCTAGAGAAAAACGTCAAACTAATGGAGGAACATGCAGGTTTTTGACGTTGTAGATCAACAGAAGACCAAATTACATTTATTGCTCAACACATTGAAGATGCATTTCAGGAAAAAAAGCACACTATTGCAGTTTGGGTGGATATGGAAAAGGCCTTCGACAAAGTGTGGAAAAATGGGCTGAAACAAAAGCTACTTGAAAGTGGAATATCCCATCACATGCTTGGGTGGATCGTAAAATATCTTGAAAATCGATCTGCAAGAGTCAAGATACAGGGTTCAAGGAGCAGATCAGTCTCAATGACACATGGAGTTCCACAAGGCGGAGTTCTGTCCCCAATTCTTTTCCTAGTTTACATTAACGACATAAAATCAACCCTCTGTAATGGAGTTCAAGCCGTTATGTATGCCGATGATCTGGCGCTACTGAGTTCAGAGGAGGACACTGAAAAAGCACAGACAAGGCTTCAAGAATCCCTCGGAACTCTAGAGAGGTGGTCCAATAGCTGGTACATGCCTGTAAATGGGGCCAAAACCACACACACCATTTTCAGTCTCTCTACCAAACCCCAGAAAGTTTCACTTAGATATGGCAGCCAGGCACTGATACATGATGACTCACCGTCATATTTAGGAGTAACCTTTGACTCAAGACTCACATGGAGAAAACAGATAGAAAAGACACAGAGCAAGGGACTCAAGAGAACACAACTGATGAGGAAGTTAGCTGGCACAGACTGGGGGGCAAACCTCAATGTCCTTAAGAGGACCTATACAGGCTATGTGAGGCCAACACTAGAATATGGAATAGCTGCTTGGGGCACAGCAGCTAAATCAAATTTTCAGAAAGTCTCAAAGATCCAAAACCATGCTCTCCGTATTATGACAGGGGCAATGCGCTCCACGCCCATATCAGATATGGAAACAATTACTGGTCTCCATAATCTGGAAGATAGGAGAGACACAAAGATCCTCACCCAGCTCTCCAAATACCACCACTTTCAAGAACAACCCATGTACAGCCGACTACAGAAACCCCAGAAGGCTAGACTAAAGAGAACTTGCTTTATTAAGAACGCAAATGCCAAGCTCGCTGTCCTTAAACTCCCTTCCATAATACCAAATGTTCCACTTAAACCTTACAACGACTGCCCCGCTTGGCTTAGGGATAGCCTACCAACAGTCAGAACCACTGTAACAGGGGTCTCCTCCAAATCATCAATGAGCAGCACTGATATGAAATCAACTACAGAAGGAGAGATCAATAGACTTTACCCACACCAGAGTTGGATTCGAGTTTATACAGATGGTTCAGCCAAGAGAGCAGTAAGAGACAGAGGAGGAGGAATATACATAGAATGCCCAAATGGTTTAAAAATCAACCAGGCTGTACCAACAGGTTCATATTCCTCCAATTACAGAGCAGAGTCAGAAGCACTTCTAGCAGCATGTTCTTTCCTGAATGGACAACAGCACAGCAAATATAGCAGAGTGGTCTTTCTGACTGATGCTATGTCAGTTCTACAAGCAATTGTTAACCCAAAAGACACTCAGTTTGTAGACTTGACGCAACAGCTGATTTACTTAGGCTCTTCAGTAGAACAATCTGTACTGCAGTGGATTCCAGGTCACTGTGGCTTGGAAGGCAATGAAATAGCGGACAGATTGGCCAGAAACGGCAGTGACATGGTACAACCAAATAGCGACTTAACCCACCAAGAGATGAAAACACTAATACAATCTAGTATCCAAGAAAGGTGGCTGGATACCCACACCAGATTTTCTCCCCAAGACTCACTTCATCGCCTCTCTAGAGAGGGACAGTCTATTATATTCAGACTAAGGACAGGGCACAACAGATTTCGTCAACATATGTTCAAATTTTTCGGTGTAGGAAATACGGAGACGTGTCCCTGCAGCGTGGCACCCGAAAATGCTGAGCATGTGCTCCAACACTGTCAACTGTATGCTGACAACAGAGACGCAATCTGGCCTGTTCCAACCACAATGAAGACAAAACTGTATGGTACACAAGAGGATATGGATTGCACGATAGCTTTCATAAAGGCTACCGGCCTCCTGATATAAGTTTTCTGACAGAAGGATCGAAGAAGAAGAAGAAGACTGGATTATTTTTTCTGACATATATTTCTGGGGTCAACCAGTCTCATAAAATGGCTACCAGTTAGTCTTCCCATTAGTCTGAGAAGGAATAATGAGAAAGGGAAGAGTCTGTCCATCCCACCTCACTATACCTAGAATATGTGATGACTGGAGAGCCATGGTAGCATAGCACCCTTAAGGTTTTGGGTTGAAATCCACATCTCCCAGTGTGGGTCCCGTTTCTCATTGTGGAGAAAACAAGAATAGACACACTGCCTCCCCCACAATTATGTCATAAGAGGTGACTAATTGGAAGCTTCCTTCGAAACTGGAGTGCATCTGCCTGTGGGACAAGGAACCAACAGTCTGCACACAAATAAGCAAGATTTGTAAAACAGATGCACACTGAAAACTCAGGACCTAGAACAAAGCCAAAGTCAAGAAATGGACGAAGAGTGCAAACAGACAAACAAATCCACATCGAGGAAGATTAAAAAAAATTAATTGACCTGGGCTTTCAGGTTGATCCAGCCTAAAATGGGTACCAGGTAATGTCCAGGAAAATAAAGAGGTCTGACATGACGTGACCACATCACCTCTTGAGCGCTGATTTGTCTATAAAAATATACATCTAGCACGATAAACCCTCTGCACTGAAAGCTTCAAAAGGGTTGTTTACTTTACTTACATATATGACGGTGAAACGCTTCACATCTCAAAGGCAGTCATTACTCAGTGAATTATTTTTTTCACCCTGTAAAATACAGTTTTAATAGCTGAAAATGCAGAGGACCAGCAACAACTATTTGACATTGTTCTACTAGAGAGTACAAAAAAGGGACTTTCCTTGAAAACAGAAACAATGGTTATATCAAAAAGGAAGATAACTCCAAAATATGACATTGAAATAGAAGAGCCTAACCAAGTCAATCAATTCAAACATTAGGGACATTGATAACATCAGATGGACATTGTGTGACAGAAATTAAGAGCAGAATTGGCCAGACAAAGGCAGCATTACAGAAAATGATAAGTATCTTTTGTAATAAATCACTCTCATTAAACATTATAAAATGAATTAAGAACAGTTTGGAGGCAACTGAGATGTGACCAACAATGATTGCCTGGAAATGGCTAATGCAAGAATAACATTATATAAAATAATGAGAAGGAAACAAAGTTCTTTGGTCATGTGATGTGAAAATGAGCATAGATATCATGATGACGGAAAGATCACTGGTAGAAGAGGCAGAGACAGACCAAGAGAAATGATGATGAATGGCTTAAGACAGTGGCATGGAGGAATATCGTCAGTGGAATTGATCCATAACACCAAAGACCGAGATCAGTAGAGATGCATGAACGCCTACGCTAGCTGGCAAGACACTTGCTGATGATGATGATGAAAATACAGTACTCTTTCACAAAGAGGCTACATACTATCAATTTATTTATTGTCTTATGTATATTCAATGTTTAATTCTTTGCTATAAAATCATTTCATCTTATTTAGTAAAATTTAAAACTTTTGTCTTATGTAACTTATCTGATACAGATGTGCAATACAGCATAATGGCAGACTGTTGATAGCGGATGAAATGGGTCTTGGCAAGACTTTGCAAGCAATCTGTGTTGCTTGTTACTATCGTCAAGAGTGGCCTCTTTTGATAGTGTCACCATCTTCCGTACGCTTTGACTGGGCTCAGGTATAGCAGAGTATATGTTGCTGACAATTTATAATTATGTAAAATAAACACTGTTTTTACTATTCAGATTCCCAAAATTGTGTGATGTGTGAATCACTCTATTTGCTGAATCCCCTCCTTAGCTTTATATGTTCTCTTACCTTTTTTATATTTGGTCAGAACACACTCAAGAAATCTGGCTTAATTAGTGATCATTATTACTGTTTTGAAAGAAATGCATTGATGAATTTTGTAAAAAGATATATCTTCACTTGCATTACCTACAGGTACGGTTAGTGGAATTAATTGACACTTTATTTTTGTGTTTCCAAGATATTACAGAAGAATGATAACACCATAGACCGGTACAAGTGTAAAAAAAATATCTTGAAAGAAATTAACTTGCAAAGAGAACTGTCTAAACACATCAGAAAAAACAGTATTTGTTTGAGAAGGGAAAAACTGAAGTACATCATGACAATGGAAAAATGGGAAGGGAAGAGAGACAGAGGGAGACTAAGAAAAAAGATGTTTGACAGTTTGGCATAATGACATAGAAGGACATCAGTATCAGATATGACTACCATATCAGAGACGGAGAAGGTTGTGGACTGACATGATTATCAGCGCCACATGGTATGGACTGAAAGAAGAAGAACACTGAGGACTCGGAGCATGCAAACTAATGAAAGATACAGGAAAACTACTGTTATAGATCTCTAGTACATTATTCTTTGACAGTCAACATTGTTAGGGATATTTTTGCGTGATGCCAAAAGAATAATCTTGAGTAGAGCACTAGTTAAACAGTGAACCAAATCAGGAATTAAATCAAGAAACTATAAAACATTTATTGAAGTCATCAACGATGTCACCACTGAGTTTAATAGCTGAAAACATACGGAGCAAACCTAAGCCATTAGTGGTTCTTTTCTTTTAGCTTAGCCATCTCGGGAAAGTCCAATAGTATAGGAGTGTTAGGGTGTGAAATTAATGGCGACTAACTCTAGCCCTAACCCCCCCCCCCCCCCCCAGTAATATTGGATTTTCTCAGAAAATCCTCATAAGTTTATAAGTCAATGAGTCCCCGAAATGGGGTGAACTGAAAGAAAAGTACCCTGCCATTCCTAGCTAAATCATTACTGTCCTTCTTTCCCTTCTCTATCCTCCTTTTCCTGTTCAGTACTGATGTCCCAGTTCACACCAGTGTGCAAATATGCACCTTTCAGAACAATACGACACAAATAGTGATATGCCCATAACTTAGTCCATGACACAAAATTTCAGCATTACTTATTGGTCAAGGGGGTCTCCATGACAAAGGGGTCAAGACGCTTGCCTTATGCTGTCAGGGTCTTGATTTTGTGTCACTGATGCAGTGTTTGGTTCATCAGACCAGTCTTTATGGTAGTTCTTGGGAATCGTCGCTGGAGCTATACAGTTGGTGCTTGTGCAACACTCTTGGCACACACATAACCATTCTGCTGAGAGAGACTGAGCCATCTGGGATAAAACTCAGTGCAGTGAAGGTGATCCTCTTGACTTTAAACCCTTTTGTACCGTAAACATCTTTACAAAAATGACCTTTTTCAAAATTTCCTTAAAAACAAATGCATCCATATAATTTTCTGAAACTTTACCCTAAAAAAAAAAAAAGAGAAGAAGAAGTAGGTGAAATTTGAAATCTTGGGCAGTTTTTTTTATAAACATTCTAAAGTTCATGCAAAAACAAAGTTTTAAGCTAGGGAATTAATCACTAGAACAAACAGAGCAAAGAATTAACTGCTTTCCTTCCCTTTGACCATAATAAATGTGGTTTTGTTGATTTAGCCACAGGCATCAACTTGACGTCATAATACATTATTATGACGTAAACAATGACAATGACATAAACATATTAATCATGTCTAGACAATGTGCAGTTACAGCCAGTACCAAATCGGTCATATATACGCTTGGTGTTCACTGGCCAGATACTTCATGTCATTAAAAACCCGTAAATGTCAGGAAAAAAAAACGGTTCTGTCATAGTGACAGGGTTAACTTTCATTAATGGGTAAGAAATTTGTAAAAACTAAGATCTTCTTGTATCTGCAACGTCAAAAAAAAAAAAAAAAAAAATTCAGGCTCTAGAAATGTTTAATGTTAGGACCTGCTAAAGATAAACATGTCATTGTAGGGAGGTACAATGAACATAGAAGTTATGCAAATAATAATCAAGTGTCAGTGCCAAGAAATTGTACGGATAAGCAAGGTTTGCCACATTTCGCTGATGGATACAAAGTCACAGAGAAGGGTTGTGCTCCACCATAAGAACATCCACGAAGATGGTAAAAATAAAGTGTGAGACTGTTTAAAAGTGAGAACTGAGCTTCAGGAACTGAAAGGATATCACCTAATCTATAGATTTGGCTTGAAATATTATTCACTGACAAAAATATGAGCATTTCTTTGTGTTTCTGGGTCTTTTTTTTTATGTATCAGAAAGCAAGACTTTCCAGAATCAGGTGTTATTACAACTGAAAATTGCACTAATAATTGAACACAGTACATTTTGAGAATTTGAAACTGTTTTCTTTTGCTCGTAACAAATTTACCATATTTGTTAAAATTGTTAATATTTATAAGAAATATGTTTTTCTTTCATTTCTTACAACAGCAAATTTGTAGATGGCTGCCCAGTGTTGCTCCATGTGATATTAACGTTGTTGAATCCAGCAAGAGCAGCTTTACATCTGGGATGATTAACATTCTTAGCTATGACCTGTTGTCCAAAAAAGTCGAGGAGCTCAAAAAGCAGAAATTCAAGGTCATCATAATGGTATGTTGTCTTGTATACCAAGTGGCCCACAATCACGAGGAGCACACATTTTTTGCATGTGCTAATTAGTCACACTATTCCCCATTTGGGTTCCAGTGTCCTGTTGTGGGGGAAAACAAGAATAGACCCACTGCCTACCCAAAAGCATGTGGTAAGAGTCGACTAATTTTTTTGAAGTCGAAGTGCATCTGCCTGAGAGACAAGGAACCAACAGTCTGCATACAAATGAGTTAGATCTGTAAAACGGATGCACACTCAACACTCAGGTTCTGGAACAGGACTTCAGTCCAGAGTGGATGAACAACCAGAACTTTCTGCCAGAGTTTACAGCTGATAAACGCAAAGAAGAAGAAAAAATCTCACTATTTCTCCTTCCCACTACTGCTTCTACAATCTGTCTTTGATCTTTTTATAGGGTGCAAGCCCTCACTTTTTTCCTTGCTGTCTTTCTTTCGCTCTCTCTCTCTTTTTTTTTCTTCTCAAATGGTTTCTTATAGTTCTGTTTTCTCATATGACTCTTGTGGGTCAAACAACCTCTTCACCATATACTTTTTAAAGTTTATCAGTGTATATTTGTTGCCTTCATGGATTGCTGGACTTGCCAGTTTTGTTGTTAACTGGTTTCCTTTCTCCTTGTGTGGCATATCCAACATTAATGACGTTATCTTAGCTCTTGATTCATTGAATTTCTTTACTTCACTCTGTGAGCTGCACATTGATGATTTTTTGGACCAGTTTAGTTCTTTTATTCTGTGCAGGTGGTTAATAAAATCTATCATTAGTAACGGTAATTACATCATTTTGTTACATTGAATTCGGTGTGTTATCGGTGTAATGGAAGTGATAATTAAATACACTGGTGCATCATTGAGTATTATCAACCCTTCTGGTCAAGATGGCAAAACAAAGATCGCGTCGCTAATGTGTTCCTTTTTTTCCAGAGATTTTGTTTAAATATAAGCTAAATTTGTGGGTCAGCGTGTGGAAAAATGTGAAAAATCTGTGTTCTAACATGTGGGAAATGTGAATATTGTGTTCATGAGGAGAAATGTTTCATTAAGCATGAATCTACGACAGGTCCGGCAAGCCAGTGGAACATTTAACTACATACACGGTGATGCCCAAGAACAATTTATAAGATGTGAGTGTGTGCGAACTAAGTTTAACAAAAAAGAGAGTAGAGTAGAGTAGGAACGTTAAATATGTGTGGCTGAGGCAACAAAGCAGAGGAGACTATACAACTGATGGAAAAATACCAAGTGAATAGTTTAGGTTTGGCAGAGTTAAGATTGAAGCGGAATTACAGAGGAATATAACTATTAGGCCACACAGGGAAATTGTATACCAAATTAATTGTTATTTGCAGATGATCAAGTAGAAACCATATCAATTAAAGTAAATAACAAAAAACAAAACAAAAAAGTGAATTTAAATATCTAGGGTCATTTTTCACCTCGGATGGAAGAATGGATAGAGAAATCAACATACCATAAGAGCAAATCAGGTTATGTGACAATCAACACTGCTTCTGATGCATGGAAAGATACCTCTGTCAACCAAAGGCATTCTTATAAGAATGGTTTTTTGGTTGGCATTGTGCTAACACTGCCAAACTTGGACCCTTACTACAACTAATAAGCGGAAGATTGAAGCAACAGAGATGAGATGTCTCAGGAGAGCTAACGGTGTGACAAGAAGATATAAAATCAGGAATGGAGAAATTAGAAGACTAGAACTGAAACCAGTCATACAGTTTATTAAAGAACAAAAAATTAGATGGTTCGACCACCTGTTAAGAATGCCCTGGTACCAACTGCCACAGAGAGCCACCTAAAGTAATATAATGAACGCAGACGAAGTGGAAGACCTTGTAAGAGATGGAGCGATAACATCAGGAGCAATCTGACAGAAATAAATACCAATTTGTACAATGCATTGGAAAAAAGCACACAAACAATCCTTACATCTCCCCCAAACACATTGATGAGGTAAATAGTAGGTAGAAGAGAAGCATATGAAGGTGCATCATTATGTATTTATATGTTTTTTGGTTGTTTCATTGTTAGACTGGAGATGGTTGTCTATGCTCTAATGGAGATGAAAGAAATGTCTAAATAGAAGCTTACGGTTAAAATTAGTGCATTCTTATAACTGGTTTTTCTAGGGAAACATGGATCATAATTTGAGGTTTTGTGTTGTTTTTTAAAATAGAGAAGTAATTAAGGTATGTTTGTAAAAACTAGGATCTTGTAATTATGTACTAATGATAAAAAATACAGTTAAAGTAAAATACTTTGAAAATGGCGATTCAAATTAATTGAATAAATGAAATTGATAACTTCAATTTCTATGTTTTTGAAAATAGCAATTGCTTGAGCTTATTGCACAGTAACATGTATTTTTTACAGTTACATGTATTCATATTTTTCTTATTAATCTCTAAACAGCTATTTTATATCCTCTTCATGTCTCTGTTGACACATAAGGCATTCACAAGTGATCCTCATTGCTGCTGGTCTGCTGCTTTTCTGCCAGTGGTATCCCATGTCAGTTTACATTACTTTATTTCCCGTTCTGTTGTCCTTCTCCAGGTTTCCTTAGGTCGCCCACGTCTCTTTTTCCCATCTGCTGTCCAGGAGAGCTATTGTAATTTGTTAAATGTGTGTGAAACAGATTAATGCCAGACTATCTTCAGTTTTATGTTCACCAATGATGTGTTAAGTGAATCTCTCAGGTTTCAAATAACGATGCTGCCTTTTTTATCTTAGGATGAATCTCATTTTCTGAAAAATGCAAAGACTGTGAGGACTAAGGCTGCAGTGCCTCTATTGAAAGTAAGATATTTTTTCATATAGTAATATTGAAAGCAGACACTTGCCTGCCACCTGAAGGTCTTAGGTTCAAATCCGCATTGTGAGTGAGTGACTTTCAACCCCTCCAGGACCGCACAAGAACAGTGACATAAAGTGCCACCATTCGGATGGGAACCCCTTGAGCACATGTCACAAAAATCCTGTTTTGCTGTTGTATTAGGGCCCCTGACAACAGCTGAAGTGGAGCTTTGAAATAACGAAACATTTTGACCTATGTGATGACTCTATCCTCATTGTGTTGGATATTTATTTCAAAAATTCACCTTGACTTCCAGGTCCATGCAGCCTTAAATGTGTACCAGTAAGTGCCCTCGGAGTTAAATTTGGCTGACATGATGTTGACCAAATCACCATTGAGTGCTGATTGGTCTATAAAATATGGGCGTAGCATCATATGCCTAATGGGTTGTTGGCATGAAAAGGGTCCTTGACTTTAAGAATATTTTTTGTCTTTAATAAAATTGGAAGTGGCGTCCATGGCTTAGGGGTTGCGAGTCAGACTCATAATTCCAACCTACCGCAGTCGAAACCCACTGCTGGCTGCATGGATTTTTATCATGGTATGGGGCGTCGCAGGTCGACCCAGTCTAAAATGGGTACCAGGATGGCTGTCTTGGGAAAGTAAAGACAGCCGGCGTAATGCTGACCACATTACCCACCTCGTGCCGATCGGTCTGTAAAAATATGGGTGCCCTTCCCTTCTACCTGATGCGCCTAAAAGGCGTAAAAAGGGGGATCTTTACTTTACCTTACTAATAATATTGGACGAATAATATTCAGAAGTCAGTATCTGTTGTTGGGTTTATGAGCTTAGTTCGGCATCCTAGGTTTCATTCAGCTGAAGGGGATTGGCAAGCAGACTGCTTTATGTTGATTTCAACAAAGGTATGACAATTGACCTATAAGAAATCTACTGTTGAACATAATGTAGAGATGCTGAACTAGGACCATGATTCATACTGTCAAGACCTGCATCTGGGCTTAACTTAGGAATCTAGAAACAGATTCCCAGCCAAGTATCTAGTCACCCTAGATAGAATCTAGTTTACCTTTGAAGTCAGACAGCATTTGCCTGAGAGGTGAGGAACCAGCAGTCTGCATACAAATGTAAGCCAGATCTGTAAAATGGCTTTTGCATGCTAACTCATGGAACAAGAAAATTCAGAAATGAAGAAATAACCATGACTTTTGACCAAAGTTTACAGACAATGAAGGCAAGAAAAAAGAAGAAGATAATACTGCCTGCTAATACCACAAACAACCAGTAAATAGTGACGTGGGTTTGAGTCTTCCCAGTAACTTTCAGTTATTGTTCTTTTAAAGCCATGAACTCTTTTTCCATGAGAAGCCACAAAACTGAAACCTTCGGTTGCATCCAATTTCCATTAAATGTCACTTGTCAACAATGAACTGTTTACGAAACTTGTAGTTAATGCTACTGGTTAAATTCACGCTTGTGCAAATGATGTGGAGGTCAGGATATGAACACATTAACTATAAATAGTTCCTTTGTGCCAGGTAGCTTTTTAAAAAAAAACAAGTTGATGTCATATTTTCACGTAAGTCTTCGTAATATTAGACACGAAGTCATGGCCTGACTCCCCTGATACAAATGTTAGGTTTTTTAAGCCCTAGGGAATGTATTTTATTTAATTTTTCACCTTGTTCATTTTTACTTATTACTACCTGAAGGCATAGAAAAGGGTCCTTTACTTTACTTACCTTCATTTAATTTATATATCCTGAAGAAAAAATATGAAACAGTGTAGATAAATACATTTGAATGAATTTGTTTAGTGACCTGCGTCAGTTTATTTTTGTAAACAATTTTTTTTTCTGGAATTCCAATGGAGTCATAAATCATTTTTTTTCCCCAGGGCGAGAGGCTTAATATAGCCCAAGTATTTTAAATTTTGTTTGTGAGACAGTCACCATTTATATTCAGACCTTGAAGAATATCTGTATTTCTTCTCTTCTTGGTTCATGAATCTTCCTGTAACACTTAAGTTAAAAGTCTGCTATTCTATTAATAATAGATCTTGTACACACACAGCTGTGTTGATATTGACGTGTTGTTTTATCCCTTTCAATAGAGTGCTAAAAGAGTCCTGCTTTTGTCAGGTACACCAGCATTGTCCAGACCAAGTGAACTTTATAGCCAGATTACAGCAGTTTGTCCAGATTTATTCAAGTTCCATGAGTTTGGCCTGAGATACTGTGCAGCTAAAGAGGTTTGTGTGTTTATATACTTAATCATAAGCAGTAGGCAGTATTTATCTGCTTCCACCCCCCCCCCCCTTCCCCCAAAGGCAGACAAATTAAAACAAATAAAAGCACACCCATGGGGGTTAATACCCTCAGCTACAGTTTTCATAAAGATCCAGATTAGTTCTAAAAAAAAAAAATATAGATGACTGATTTTGGCCTGATACCACAATTATCAAGACACAATTTTTGAAAGGTCAACAAAAGGTTAAACTTTAAAGGCGACAAAAAAAAAGGCACAAATTTGCAAGTGATAGTGTTTACCATCAAGTTCTTATTTAGGATTTGTTTTAACTGTTTTTTTTTAAAATACCTTTATCACACCTATTTTCAATATAATTTGGATTTTGTTATCGTCTTCAACTTGTTTGGTCACCTTAGTTTTCTAGCTAGGTATTCTTGAATATTTTGGGAGTTTAATAAATAAATACTTTGGTTGAAATGTTTGCTTGTATTTGAATATGTCTTTCCTATCATTGAGCTTCATAATTATATTTTGTGTTCACGTAGTTGCTGAAATTTAGTGAGTTTTTAAAAATGAATTTACAGAATTCTTCTTGCTTTCATCTCCTAGTAGAGCACGGTCATTTAACCATATCACATCAAACTCTTTGCAGATGTTTTACCCCCCTTTTTTGCCTTCTTCGTCGAAAGATTATTGACATGCTGTGTTCTGATTCTGCGATATCTGCAGCACTTAATCCAACACGTCCGATTTCAGCAAAACCTTCATCATGCTTAACAGGCAATGGGTAATCTCCCCACCCCCCCCCTCTCCCCCATAAAAGGTAATGAAGACATTTATTATTGGTTGAAATTTGCTGCTAAAGTTTTCTATGTGATGAGGTATAATATTATTAGTTGCTTTTTTTCTGTTATCTTCAGATGCAGTGGGGATGGGACTATTCATCGTCATCAAATATGGTAGAACTACAAGCCTTGCTTGAGGAGAAAATTATGATACGGTAACTGCTTATTTTATTATGTGGACATTTAGGTAAAGATTGTTAATTTAGGTCCCCTTGCCTTAAAAATATAGCTGCGGTGACATAGTGGTTAGTATGCTTACCTCTAAGATGGGTCACTCAGCAGAAGTGGCCAGATGTTTCCACTAGTGCGACTTTGAAGTGGTCCCAGCATAAAAAGGGTGCAAGATAATTTCCAGAATTTGTTTTTGCAGTGAAAATTGGTGAGGCATTAAACCGGCCGCTCCAAATCATCCTAAGAGAAGTGATGCAATCTAGTCTGCGATGGTGGACTAGTGAAATATCATCAAAAGAAGTAATTCTCATTAAGATCTGCAAAGAAACTTAAATACTAATGCCATTTGGCAAAGCACAAGATGATGATGTATATTTGCAAGATTTATTTAGTATATTTTTGTTATTTTCTTTTGACAAACTTCCATACATTTTATGGAAACCTGTTGCAGGCGGGAGAAGAAAGATGTTTTGTCTCAGCTTCCTTCTAAGTACAGACAGGTGATCATGTTGGATCCTAGCTCTGTGCACAAACACAAAGATTTGAAAGCAGCATCCAAGATAATGAGCAATGTCAAACTGAAAGTGAGTGCTTGTTACACTTTTGTTTTGATGGCGAGACCAGTATATGACACTTGCACGTTATTGTCCAGTTTGGTATTGTCCAGTACCTGACATGCTTTTTATTGTTAAGTTTGGTATTGTCCAGTACCTGACATGCTTGTTATTGTTAAGTTTGGTATTGTCCAGTACATGACACACTTCTTATTGTTAAGATTTATATATACTTACTAATGTCTATTTTATTATTGTCCAGTACATGACACACTTCTTATTGTTAAGATTTATATATACTTACTAATGTCTATTTTATTATGGTCCAGTACATGACATGCTTGTTGTTATGTTTGGTTCATACCGACTAATTTCCAGTATGGGACATACATGTTATTGTCCGGTTTAGTGCACACATATTATTGTCTAGTATGGAACATACATGTTAATGTTCTCTTTGGCACACACTTGTTATTGTCCAGTTTGGTACACACTTGTTTTTGTCCAGTTTGGTACACACTTATTATTGTCTAGTATGGGACATTCATCAAATGGGTACCAGGATGGGCTGTCCTGGGAAAGTAAAGACAGCCGGCATAATGCTGACCACATTACCCACCAAGTGCTGATAGTCTGTAAAAATATGGGCGCTCTTCCCATATGCCCGATACGCCTAAAGGTGTGGAAAGGGATCTTTATTTTACTTTACTTTTATGGGACATTCATGTTATTGTCCAATTTGGTACACACTTAATATTGTCTAGTATGCGACATTCATGTTATTGTTCAGTGTGGTACACATTTAGTATTATCTAGTATAGGGTATACTTGTAATTGTCCAGTTTGGTACACACTTAGTATTATCCAGTATTGGACATACGTGTGATTGTCCATAAACACTTGTTATTGTCCAGTATGAGACATACTTGTTATTGTCCAACGTGCTACACACTTCTTATTGTCTAACACCGGACATACTTATTATTGTCCAGTTTGCTACATACTTAATATTATCTAGTACAGGGCATACTTGTCATTGTCGAGTATTGGATGTACTTGTTATTGTCAAGTTTGTTGGATGTGTTGGGCCAAAATATGCAGATATTGCAGCCTATGTAAACCATAACACAGTATGCCAACCGAATTCAGAAGAAGGAGAATTGCCTTCTGACATACTTGTTATTGTCAAATTTGATATGCACTTATTATTGTCCAGTATGTTACATACATGTTATTGGTCAGTTTGGTAACACTTATTATTGTCCACTTTCAGACATACATGTTATTGGTCAATTTAGAACACACTTGTTATTGTCTAGTATGGGATATATTTGTTATTATCCAATTTTGTACATACTTTTTATTATCCAGTATTTGATTTGATGTAACTGGGTTTTCAGAAGTTTTCAGAAAGGAACCACATGAAGTTACAAGCTTGTGATAGTGACTAGAGCAGTACTCTGTAATGACTATTAGACAGTCAGTAGTGCAGCCATGCCTTAGTAGTGCTTCAGTACGTTTACAAATTAAGCAGAGTGTAGACTGCTTTAAAAAATGTGTTTTTGGGAGCTACAGTGGCTTAATGCTTGCTTGACTTCTTCACCCAGCCGAAATTGGGTACCAGGAAATGTCCTGGGGAAATTTATGTGGCTGGCATGTTGTTTGACAGCATGCATTGAATGTTGATTGATCTAGAAAAATGTGGTTCAAGCACAATATGTTTGATGCACCATGGCTGGGAAAAAGATCCTTTTTCATTACTTTCTTATTCTGTTTTTAAATGAACATTATTTAATATTCATGTGTTGCTTGTCTATAAACAGCACATAATGATAATGATAGTCATATAATAATAACAAACCTTATGTTAACAGCTATGATGCCATATGTATTGGCTACTGTTATTTTATGTCAGTATGATAAAAAGTATAAAACATGGTACTGTTTATCACACAAAAACACCACTTATGATAATAAGATTATGAATATTATTTTGGTGATAAGACACCTGGCCTTAAGAGCAAAGTGTGCAGAGCAAGCAATGGGAAACCATGAAGGACCTGCTACTGACATGCGAGTTCATAGAGGCAACCCACCTGATGGTCTGATCTGAGCATACAAAACCCAAACACAAAGAAGAAGATGAAGATTTTGATGACAATGATAATGCAGCAGTCACAGCATGAAATACATGTCTGCCACGTGCCGAGAGTGTTGCACAGGCATGGACTCCATAGCTGCAACAAATATCCACAGAATATCTCCATAAAAATTGCACTTGTAAAACAAATGACGCAGTTCCTGAAATAAACCCGTGTGAGTCAGACAACTTCATCACTTTGCCATAGAGATCTCTTTATGTGTAAAACACAGTTTGTGAATTACTAATGTTTGAATAAATGAGTCTTTTTTATACAATTGTTACAGGGTCTAAACAAACGAGGGGCATTGTTAGAGTATTTTCATGAGACCTGCAGAGCAAAGCTGTCAGCTGTGAGGTAATAAACTCAGTAATACTGGCTAAAATATGAGCTCTGAGCTCTCTATCGCACACACCAGATGATAAACAGGTTTTACTGAGATTGCTGATTAAACATGGCACAGTTATTAACTCTTTCAGTTACGCATCACATTTCAAATTAAAACTAGTTTCGACTAGATAATGACAATGGGTACCAAGATGTATGTCCTGGGAAAGTAAAGATGGCCAGCACATTACGCACCTAGTGCCGATTGGTCTGAAAAAATATGGATGCTTTTCCTATTTGCCTGATGCGCCTAAAGGCGTGAAAAGGGATCTTTACTTTTTTTTAAATGATGTAACATGCTTGTTTTGTTTAGGTCTGTTGTTAGGCTTGGAGAAATATAATATATTAATACTTTACATTTCATTATAAACAATGGCTGCAGTTAAGTGCTTTTTGATACATTTTGTTTTAGAGAGAAAGAAATTCGATTAATGGGACAAAGAGGGTACAGAAAGACTTGAAACATGTTTTTAGTTGTTTGAAAGTTAATAAAGACTATTGCATCTAACAGATTCATGGAAGGGTTTAAAGGGTTTAACATGAGTCTGGGTGTGAACTTACCATGCTCATCATCATCATGTAGCACATCCTTTACAGATTGTCACTCTCATCTCAGCCTTCCTGGAAGAAGCCCGGTCTCTCTCCTGATCTCCTGCCTTATGTTCTGTCTTTCCCCAAGAGGTCACTTATATCCTGTGCCCATGTTCATGCTGATTGGCCCCCTACCCCTGTTTCCTTACACTATACCCTATGAAGAGGATATAGATAGTGTTTTTAAGTAGATAAACTTAGAAATGTTATTAACTAAGTGATGTTTTTCTCATGGTGAATACATGAACAGGGGTTATGTGTTGGACTTGGTTGAATCAGACAAGAAGTTTTTGGTGTTTGCACATCACAAGGAGATGCTGGATTGTATAGAGGATGGCATCAAGTCTGAGGTGAGCTGATAGTGAGTTTGCAGTCTGTTTGCAAATCGGAGTTTAGTCTTGTGAGATCTTCTCAGATAAATTTATATCATAATCGCCATATAGGTCCTTTACAGAATATTGCTACCCGTCACAGCCCGGCTGAAAGAAACTTGATCCCTCGTCAGCTCTTCTCCTTTCATATACTTCCCAGCCTAAGGTGTCTCTTATGTCTGTGCCTAGCTTTATGCATGTCAAATACAACTGTTGTGTGAAAAACGGGTGTTTGGAAGGGCCAAATGTAAGACGGGCCTGCGTGCCCAATTTGTGACCCTTTGAAAGTTAAGTTTGTTTGATCGTTCAGTCCCTGCCTCTCTTGCCTGGCACCCTGCCCTCCATCACCTTTCTTTCCAGGACATTGGGAAGTTTGATATGGCAACTGTTTTCAAGTTTAAGAAACAAAAAGATATATCTCCTTCAAATTATTTTTAGTAACATCGTCAACTTTTAAAAGTTATAAGACCTGCATTATTGAATTGATCATAAAAACTATAATCCAATGATCCATCATGCAATTCTCTATGCAGTTTTGGAGTAAACAATATTGTGCCATTTATTCCGTAGATGGAAGTCATCACTATGTAAGCTATTCTTTTATACCAAAGCCATCGAAAGGTTACAAACTTGACACAGAGACTAATGAAAATATACGCCTTACTAGTGGTAACAGAAATGTGCTTTTTAAAATTTTAAATATTTCCACTAAAATAGAAAGCAAGGCTCCAAACTCTCAAACAGTTCTTATGAAAAGAGTTGCTGCAGTCTAATTTTTTTAGTGATACCTAGCTACTGTTACAAGCTGAATTATCCAAACTGCATATTGTAAAAACGAAATTTGTTATTGTGCATCATAGACAATAACAGATATGTGTAAATATACCAAGATAAAACAAAACCCTACATGTCTCTACATTACAAGATTTACTATAACCTATTTTTAAGGACCAACAGAATATTTGAATCTGATCTCTCACTGCTTTGACTTTCAAAATAAAGCTCATTAAGTCGCTGTTGTGTCAAGCTGGAATCAGGGAATAAACTTGGGGCAGCAAAAATTTAAATTCTTTTTCCATTGTTGCCTTTAAAAAAAGTATGGCTGGCATGTTGTGATGCGGTTTACATCTAAGCTGCGATAAAAGCATCTTTCAGCCCAACACATTTGATTTTAGCAAACCCTAACCACGTTTTACGACATGCTTGTTAGAAGGACAGTGCCTCCCCCCCCCCCTCCCATATCTTCCAGTATGGGGCAATGACCCAAACAGAGTTTTACATAATTAAATTTACTGGTTTGCAGGCCTCACATATTCAGTATATTCGCATTGATGGAAGAACCACATCGGAGCAGCGTCACTTTTTCTGCAGCAAATTTCAGGCCTGTGACAGTTACAAGGTGGCTATTTTGTCCATCACCGCTGCCAATGCTGGTATAAACTTGTCTGCAGCAAATATTGTTGTCTTTGCAGAGCTGTTCTGGAATCCTGGGGTATGATCAACATGTTTGTGGTTTTTAAATATGTAGAGAAAATTACTTGTAATACTTTTTGTTAATATATGTAGTTTTGGAGGGGGCCACATGTTCAGGTAGAAATAGTATACATATGTATATAACAGTGCTGTTATATTTAAATTTGTTTCTGCCTGTATAAGTGTACGCTTTAAGCAGAGTGGCAAGCTTCACTGGAAAAGTCGTGGGTAGTGAGCATACTTTGGATTTTTTCTCCACGCCATGCGGACGTGGTGGGTAATGAACAGGCAGACAGATTGGCTGGATCTGCACCACTGGGTGGTGAATTGATACATGACAAGGCAGATGTGGTCAAGGCCCTTTGGGAACAAGCAACGGAATCAGTAGAGAAAGAAGATAATTATGGCCTGGAGAGAATGAGGCCCCTGAGTGTAACCAGAGGGTCTGGCTGGCTCACTACACTTGGAGGAAAGGCAAGACCGACATTTAACCAGTTTGTGACTGGTACCATCAGTATTGGAACTCTGCACTGGCTGCTGAAGATGATGACGGAGCACACATGGGAATGCCCCGAGTGCTTTGATGTCAATTCTTGACTCAACTCAACACAACACAACACACTCATATATCCGTGTCCACACATATTACATTTACACATCACATTGGAGTTCATGTTTAATAATGAGGGTTTACTGTACTTAAAACCTGCAGTTTTAACTAATTTAAGAACTAACATGATGTAGATGCGGGCTCTTCCAGTAGCACACTGGTTGCACACATCTTGTACTCTTCCCCTCAGATGTCTTTCTTTGTTGTTTTTGTTGTTGCTACATCCTCACTTAATTCCAGATTAACACAGCCTTACACAACAACCTTTGTCTGAACCCAACCAGCCCATAGTGCTGTGTAGGATCATAATCTGCTTTAAAAATGAAAACAAAAAGGTAAATTCAAACTACAATTACTGACTTGTTAATTATGCATTGTTCATCAGCGTTCAGTATAGGGCATATTATGCTTGACTCATATTTTTAGTAGCCACCCAATGGGTGATGTAGTTGATATCACATTGCCTGCCTTTACTTCCCAGGACATTACTTGCTACCCATTTTAGGATGGATCAACACAGGAGCCAAGTTCAGATTTGAAAACAGTTAATCTCAGTATGAACATCATCATTAGAAGTGATAGATTAATAAAAAGGATCAGTTTGAGTTGTTAGTAGTTAAAGCTTCTAATAATCTAAATAGTATCTCTCCATTAAAATAGTTCAAACTATTGAGACTTGAAACTTCTAAACCAGTATCTCTCCATTTAAATAGTTCTAACTATTGAGAATTGAAGCTTCTAAACCAGTATCTCTCCATTTAAATAGTTCCAACTATTAAGACTAAGCAGATGTTTCTGTCACTGTTCTAAGAATCTTGCCGTGGGATCAAACCAAGTGTTTCTGTTTGAAAAAAAAAAGATCACCTCACTGTTGCACAAAGTGGCAAGGTTGCTTCCTTCGAAGTCAGAGTGAATCTGCCTAAAAAGCATGAGGATAATACAATGAAACAATCATGTGCAGTTTTGTGCTGTCTTTTGTTTTGTTGTACTCTCTTTCACACTGCTTTTGTCCATCTCTTGATGTTGTCCTCTCACTTGTTTCCTATCTACCATTTGCTCTCTTGCCTTGATATGTTTCTTGCTCTTACTTGTTTCCTATCTACCTCTTGCTCTCTTGCCTTGATATTTTTCTTGCTCTTACTTGTTTCCTATCTACCTCTCGCTCTCTTGACATTTTCCTTGCTCTCACTTGTTTCCTGTCTGCCTCTTGCTCTCTTACCTTGACATTTTCCTTGCTCTCACTTGTTTCCTAACTACCTCTTGCTCTCTTACCTTGACATTTTCCTTGCTCTCACTTGTTTTCTAACTACCTCTTGCTCTCTTACCTTGACATTTTCCTTGCTCTCACTTGTTTCCTATCTACCTCTTGCTCTCTTACCTTGACATTTTCCTTGCTCTCACTTGTTTTCTAACTACCTCTTGCTCTCTTACCTTGACATTTTCCTTGCTCTCACTTGTTTCCTATCTACCACTTGTTCTCTCTTACCTTGACATTTTCCTTGCTCTCACTTGTTTTCTATCTACCACTTGCTCTCTTACCTTGACATTTTCCTTGCTCTCACTTGTTTCCTATCTACCTCTTGCTCTCTTACCTTGACATTTTCCTTGCTCTCACTTGTTTCCTATCTACCTCTTGCTCTCTTACCTTGACATTTTCCTTGCTCTCACTTGTTTCCTATCTACCTCTTGCTCTCTTACCTTGACATTTTCCTTGCTCTCATTTGTTTCCTATCTACCTCTTGCTCTCTTACCTTGACATTTTCCTTGCATGTGGTTTAAAAAAAAAAGTGTTATACCTTTTAATATAGCCAGAATATTTCACCTGTGTCTTTTTTATTTCTTTTAGCAACTCTGTTTTAATTTTCTGTCTTTCCATGACCTTTGAATGTGATTAGTTTTATTTCCATGAAATACAACTGTTCTTCTGGATATCCACATCTTCAGAGACTGAATTGAATTTTCTACATACTATTGTTGTATAGATTTATAAGAGTTGTCATAAAAAGAATGTCATTGTTGTATTTATTAGGGAGATGTGGTCACAAAGTATTTAATACACTTGCTTACAACACTGTGGTTGAAACCGCAGTGGTGGCAAGATTAAAGGCCACAATAGATTGACTTTTAAAAGGATATATCTGAAAGGTTGTGTTCAGGTGAGGATGACAGGACAAACTAGCTGTCCATCTGTCATTCTGTCTTTTCATGACCACTAACTTTAAAATATAAACATTGTATGTACATCGATCTTTTTTGTGTGTGTGTGTGGGTGGTCAGGTCACCCCCTACCTACGTGGAATCACCCAAATCTAGTCTGACCAGACCCCAGCAATGAAATAAAGTGTTGTAAACGTTTTTTTCTTTTCAACTTTAAAAAAAAAAAAACTTTGCAGATTTTGGTACAAGCCGAAGATCGAGCTCACCGTATTGGCCAGAAGGACAATGTCAATATCCAGTATTTAGTCGCACAACATACAGCGGATGACTACATTTGGTATGTTTGTTTGATGTAAATTTGTGTTTTCTTTTGCACTAAACACAGAAGGGTTGAGAATTCAAGCTTTATGGTGAGATGAATGACTGAAGAGAAATGATTATGACTTATGACTTAGATTATCTTCACAGCACTCCGGACACATCCACAGGTGCTCAGATTCACCTCTCAACATATTCATCAGCAACGTGCGGTTAATATTGCCAGTCATATGTTGGTTAACAAGACTTTGTGTACGTCCGGTGTGCTTCTCATGCTTGGCTGTGCCGATCTTAACTCCCAATTCTCGAATTCTTAGCAGTGATGTGGACACGTGGCTTCCAAAATCCTCAGAACATCCCATCTCTCTAAGGGCAATGACAATGTCTGCGTGATCCATGGGCAGGCCATCTTCGATTAATGCAGCACCTGTCAGTCTATCAGCTCTCTCGTTACCAACAATGCCTGCATGCACTGGGACGAATATAAAAGTAACTGCACACACAGGAGAAATTTGCAACGACTCAAGCCAATGTCTGCGTAACCAGCCTGCCTTAACCCGCCGGATCATGCTCAAAGAATCACTCAGCACACACAAGCGGGAATAGTCCTGTGATTCTGGCCACTTGAAAATTTGTGTCACCACCATCACCTCCATGCTGCTGGTAGTCATGGAGAAGGCACCACTGGCTTCTTGAACTCTTCTGGTGAAGATCACCACATCTGATTTGTCAGTGATAAGCGGGAATACCTTGTCATTGACAGCAGCTTGATTCTGCTCCCGACAACTCCTATCGAGCGTCACGACACATGAGATTGCTATAGGTGCACCATGATTGCTATAGGTTTCTTGTAAATGGTAATTAGACATTTTTGAATGTTCATCATCATCACCAGCATTAACATTCATCATTGTCACCATCGTCGTCATCGTGTTGTGAGTTTGAAGTTTGGTATTTATCATGTTTCTTCACTGTCCCATGTTTGCATCAGGTTTTTCCCTCTCTGTCTCCCCTCTTCCCTCCTGCTTTCAGCTGCTATCTTTAATGTATCTCATTCTCAGCCACTCGCTACTGTCTACTGTTTTCAGCCACTCTTTTCACTGTCTCATATTTTCAGCAACTCTCTTCTGTCTTCTGTTTTTAGCCATAGTCTTGTCTCCTGTGTTCAGCAATTGTCTTTCTCTTGTGTTCAGAAACTCTCTTGTCTCCTGTTTTCAGCAACTATCTCGTCTTCTGTGTTCAGCAACTCTTTTGTCTCCTATTTTCAGTAACTCTTTTGTCTCCTGTGTTTAGCAACTCTCTTTGTCTCCTGTGTTCAGCAGTTTTCTTTCTTATGTTTTCAGCAACATCTTGTTTCCTGTTTTCAGCAACTTTCTTGTCTCCTGTGTTCAGTAATAATCTTTTCTTCTGTTTTTGTCTCCTGTGTTCAGCAACCCCCTTGTCTCCTGTGTTTATCAACTCTTTTGCCTCCTGTGTTCACAACTCTTTTGTCTCCTATTTTCAGCAACTCTCTTGTCTCCTGTGTTCAGCAACTCTCTTGTCTCCTTTGTTCAGCAACTCTTTTGTCTCCTGTGTTCAGCTACCCCCTTGTCTCCTGTGTTCAGCAACTCTTTTGTCTCCTGTGTTCAGCAATCCCCTTGTCTCCTGTGTTCAGCAACTCTCTTGTCTCCTGTGTTCAGCAACCCTCTTGTCTTGTGTGTTCAGCAACTCTTTTGTCTCCTTTTTTCATCAACTCTCTTGTCTCCTGTGTTCAGCAACTCTCTTGTCTCCTGTGTTCAGCAACTCTCTTGTCTCCTGTGTTCAGCAACTCTCTTGTCTCCTGTGTTCAGCAACTCTCTTGTCTCCTGTGTTCAGCAACTCTCTTGTCTCCTGTGTTCAGCAACTCTCTTGTCTCATGTGTTCTCCTGTGTTCAGCAACTCTTTTGTCTCCTGTGATCACAACTCTCTTGTCTCATGTGTTCATCAACTCTTTTGTCTCCTATTTTCAGCAACTCTTTTGTCTCCTGTGTTCAGCAACCCCCTTGTCTCCTGTGTTCAGCAACTCTCTTGTCTCCTGTGTTCACAACTCTCTTGTTTTCTATTCTCAGCAACTCTTTTCACAGTTCAGCAATAAATACAAGCCCCAATCACAATCCATCAACACAGCACATTGTGATAATGTTTATTATGAAATCAACTCTTTGGTCCATCACACAGCAACTTGTTATCTTTGACATTACAACAGCAGTAAAATTTACTCCTCTGAATCATCTTCATAGTCCCATAACAGTCCATGTTGATGGGTCACCAGCTGCTGGTGACAACCTGATCAGCTCCCTTCACCTCTGTTGGTCAAATGCAGTTGACTTGGAGTAATCCGATCTATCAGTCACTATGGTGCACCTTGGGCAGTATTTCAGCCCTGATAGAGTCCAGTTCTCTCCTGATGACCATTTGCCTTTATCCTTATGGATATTTTTACCAGCTTGCACTTTGAGGAGGTGCTGTTGGCTTGCGTAATTGCAGGACAGCGGCAGGCTACCAGTTTTCGCTGTTCACCACCAAGGAGTGCTAGCCGCCCCCAACACTGTTGGCTGCAGTGCTAGATGTAACGGCACCTTGCAGATCTCTGAGTCATCATCATCATGTGCTCTGCCAACTGGCATAGATGCTCATGCGTCTTCACAGATCACAATCTCTGGTTGCCTGAAATAGCTTTCTTGATGATATCTCTCCATGCCATCATAATTATGCCTTTCCAGCATCATCTCTCTTGGTCTGCCTCTACCCCTTTTTCCTCTGATCTTTCCAGTTGTCACGATATTCTCCAACGTCTCTCTTCTCATTATATTGTATATAGAGATATACTTTCATTAGCTTCTTTCAAGCAATCGTTGTTATTTACTGTGGCCATCCAGGGTATTCATAACATTTGTCTCAGAAACCATATCTCTGTTGATTTCTGAATGCATATTTAAAATTGTTGCTGCATTCTTTCTTATAAGAAACTTGCCTGTCTCATCACAGATTAGTGATGATTGCTAAGTAACAAGTAAGTGAATATAATCAGTGGTGCCACTTTTAATGTTACTTATCCCATAATTTTTAAGGCCATTAGTTCAAGGCAAACTTGATACTCTAAGCAAGGCAGGACTTGCCAAGGATGACTTCGCAGATGCAGATACCACCCGTTTGAAGGTACACAAAATAATCATCTTTCTCTTTTCCTTACAGTTTTAGTTTTATTTACTAGTTCATAATCATTAAATGTTGGTGATATTCGTACCATTAAATTGAATTAATTGAGTGAAACCATGTTTTCAGTTTTAATTAAATATGAGCCTAAAAGGTAGCAGAAATCCAACTTGTGTAACTGTGATGTTGGGTTGTTTAATGTTTACTGGATGTGATAATATAATACTTTTTTCCTCTAGTAATTACAAGAGAGACAGACAACGGTAGAAATAGTAGCAATAGTAGAAGCCTGCTATTGTGTTTGCTCATCAGTGGAGTACTTTATACACTAATAGCAGCAGCAGCAGCAGTTTTTTTTAAAGTACATAAGTTACTGATTAAAGAATTGACATCATAGCACACTGGGCATACCCATAGATGCTGCAGCATATGTCTTAAGTTGTATATTTTAATCTGGCGAGACCTTTTAACCCTGTTGACCTCCTAACACTAGAACAAGTGGATCATAACCTTATGGGAATTCCTGACAAAATCCTATAAAAATAAAAACAATCACTTATATAGTTAAAGAAAATGTCTTTATCTACCTTTTAAAATGTTTTCCCCAAATTATATGTATATATATATATATATATATATATATATTGTTGTTGTTGTTGTTTGTTAAGGGAAATGTCAGTAAACATTAACAGACTCAAGCATTACATGAAATATCTCCCCCAGGGCCTTAAAAAAACAAAAACAATTTGCGTCAGGTGACTCATGCTGTGACTCCATGACCTCAGTCAAAAAAATGTTGATATCAACATGGCTGTACAAAAAAGCTGTTTGATTCACAGGAAAACACTTCAAATGTTTATTTTTAGCAATCATTTCCTGAGGTTGTAAACACCTGCATGTGCATACTCAGCCAGTAACATTAACTCTGAGCCTCATAAACAAATCAGAAAAGTAAACATTTACGGGAAATTGGACATAGTGGAAGTGTTTTGTTTAGCTTCTCAGGATGACGGGGTTAAAGGGCAGCCCCACAAGACATTTATGTAAGCTTACTGAAATCTTAATCCTGGCATAAAATATAAGTTTGCTGTGGAATTATGATTTGTTGATAGAAAAGTAACATCTTTTTCCCTTTAAATTCTTTTTATAGTTTCTGTGTTGTGTCGCTCATTAATTCTTCCTTTCCTTTTTTATCTCTCTTGTGCAGTGTTCCGCCTCACTTTTTTATTTTTCTGAATTCGAGTTACTAGTTTGTTTGTTTGTGGGTGTGGCTTGTATCATCTCTTTTTTACTTGCAAAATCTTACCACACCCCCAAGCTCTCTGTTTCCATTATGTACTTCTGCATGCCAGTATAAATACACACAAATGTTCTGACATTGTTTACAGGATAACACGCAACAAACTCTACTGGACATGTTTAGCAGTGAATTCATAGATGACACCATCCCTGACATTCAGCCAGCAGATATTGAGATGCCAGTTGACATCAGTGTTAATGTTGCAGGGGCTGTCCCCAGAAAAAGTTGACATTAATGTCCGTTCCCTATCACCACTGAGTGTTGACATTAATGTGATACCAGAGGCAAAGACACCGGTAAAATCAAGTGAGTTTTTGTTTTATTTCTAGCAGTTTATGTCATGTTTATAGTGTAAGAAGTGTCAGGGATTCCTTTTTTTTTGGACATTTGAAAGTTCTTTGGATCATTATGAACATTCGTCAGATTAGTTGGTAAATTGTGTGGAGTTTGTAGATGTGTGGTTTTGTGGAAGAACAAATGTGAGAGCATCCTGGATAGAAAACAAGTGTAATGATTATGTCTTGAAAGATATTTTCTCTGTCTTGGTTCAGGAACCCCATTTTAGAAAAAGAAAATAGACCCACTGATCTCCCTCTCCCCCACAAGCATGTTGTAAAAGACGACTAGTTAGGTGTTTACCTCAACATAACTGCTGCCTGAGAGGCGGGGAACCGACAATCTGCATCGAAATAAGCCAGATCTGTAAAATTGGATGCACACAAAAGTCCAGAAGTGGATGAACAACGAGGACTTTCCACCAGAATTTACAGCTGGCGAACGCATATAAAAACAAACAATTTCTTTAACTCGCTAGAAAATATTGGTGTCCGTATCAGAGTGGTAGGGAGGGGTAGGTGACGGTGACATAATGGGTGACGGTGACACAATAGCTAGATGCTAGCCTATGGGCCCAAAGGTCATTCCTTCAAATCTGCACTGAGATTTATTTTTCCCCATAAATAATTTGTCTCCCAAGTTGACCTAATTTAAAATAATGGGTACCAGGTAAAGTCCTTGGGAATAGAAGTGACTGGCATGCTGTTCACCACATAGTAAGTAAGTAAAGATCCCTTTCTATGCCTTTTAGGCACATCGGGCATATAATTTTTACAAAATGAAGAATCTTTTATGCAGTCTTTCTTTGTCAGTTGAACAAAGAGAATTTTTAAAAGCTACATAAATTATATCCAGATGTGTGGAAGAGAATCATAGACAGTTAGTAGATGAGTGAAAAATTATTTGGAAGTTGCGGAGATGTCGGTTTTATAAATGAATGATGAGAATATCATGGACAGATAAAAAGAGTAATAACGATGTCCTGAAAGAAACTGACTCATGAAGAGAACTGATAACCCACATTAGAAAGAGACAATCTACATTCTTTGGTCATGTCATGAAAAGGAGAAAACTGGAGTACATGGTGACTGGAAAAGTTGGAGGGGAAAAGAGGGAGACCAAAAGAAAAGATGTCGGACAGTTTGACATGGCATGGAAGATCGTCTGTATCAAAGTTAAAAGTACACGAGACAGAAGGCTGTGGTTAGACATGACTACCAACATCACATGGCACAGACTTTAAGAAGAACACATACAACTAAATTACTGCATGTGGCTTTCGTCATGATTTCATTGTTGTAGCTATACCTCAGAATATCCCTGCACATTTTCTAGGGCCCTTTTCAGGATGAGATGTATACTGGTTCCCTTCTTCTGCTTCTTCTTCTTTTTTCAGCAAAAACATGAGTCATTTAAAAAAAAAAACATACCAGCTTTTATGGGAATTTGAAACAGATGACTTCCAAGTGCCAGGCACACAGGCTGACTGTTGCACTACTGTGGCAGAGGTGTTCATAGTGCCAGTGTGCAGGAAACCTAATATTCTACCAATAGATGGAAATTCCTCACCCTTTATTCAGAACATGGACATAATCCTAAAGCTCTAGTGTAGCCACACATTGAAATAATGAGATGCCGTTATTACAGTAAAGATATTCCTATGACAGATACTGCCATTGGAATATGGAATGTTAGGCCTTCACACATTCTAGGCCATGACATATGAGATGGCGGTGGCATTTGCCTTCCTTGCTGCCTTCTCTTCCCATAGAATTACCAGAACATTCTGGAAATGATCAGGTGCACTTTTAAAAAAAGCCTGGTTTGACATCAGAGCTAAACTGGGAAACATCCTGTCACTTATGAGTATTGAACCCAGATCACTGTTTTGGTAACAAGCATACTAACCACTGTGCCATTCCAGCTGCCATCATTACAGCATGCTACTATAAATAGTTGAGGGAACCTCCATGATGTAGGGGCTGCGAATCCAAAGGTTTTGGGTTCTAATCCAGCTCAAGCCAGAATTTCTCAAACACACGCTTGGCTCCCAGGTCGACCCAGCCTAAAATGGGTACCAGGTAAAGTCCTGGGACCACATCAGCCACTGAATTCCAGTTGTTCTCAATATTTAAGTCTAGCACTATATATCCAATAAACCTCATGATCCGGAAGAGGGTGCTTTGCTTTACATTTTACTATAAATAGTTAATGACACATTTTAAAAACAAGGAAGTTTAAAAAAGTTGTCGTCCAGCATTTAGAAAATACATTTGTGATTGTCTATTTTAGGAAGCCCAAGGAAAGCTGTTGCTGGTGATTGGACAAGAAAGATCCAGTCAAAACAAACGTTAATGAGCTCACAGTCGAGTAGCATGACACAATTAGAAAAAACACCCAGCAAGCGACAAATAAGCATCACATCTTTTTTCGAGCGCACTCCACCAAAAAAGATGCGATTGGATGAGGATGCAGTTTCAGCAACGCAGCAACCAGAACATTGTGAAAGAGTGGTAAAGGTGGGAAAAGCTGAAGATGAATTTATGACAACACAGCAGCCAGACAATCATGCAAGTATAGAAAACAAGACATTAGACAAAACTGGTGACTTAAACAAGAGCAGAAGAGACCCAGGAAGTGTTGTCTGTACTGTAATGCCTTGGCTGGATGAAGAGCTGACATCTCAGGATTGTGATGGAGATGAAAGCGTACAATCATCTTTAACTGGAAATGATGAGTCCACCAATAAATCTAGCCAGGAAACCATAACAGGAACTGCTGATTCACTGAATGCTGCATGTGAGGAGAGTGCTAGAGATGACCCACAAGATGATCTGACTTGGCTGGAGGGTTTAAACTGGGATGATGAAATGTAACCAGCATTTAGAGACTAGTAAGGACCATCCTCACAGCCCTCTTGAACTAAGGCATTCCATGATGATTCGTTATTCATAGTCCATGTAAGTTTGAGTTTGGCAGTAAGTTTGAAGAAATTAGTCGCAACGATGAAGTAATATGGTGACTCTTTAGGTTCAAGGTATGCATGACACTTGATTTGGGGGCTGTTTGGTCTTAAGGCATGGTATCCGCCTCGAGTGCTGGAGGGCTTGGTTTCTAGCCCAGTGAAGGCTGGGATTTTTTCACGTGGACTTCCAGTAATTTTACCCTGGTCTATGGGTAGTAAGATTGGATGCCCCTGTGTATTGTTGCGAACATAAAAAATCCCTTGGCAGTTGGAAATCAAAAAGATTAGCTTAATGGCGCTGCCCATGCCAAATGTGGAGTTAAAATGCTACCTAAAATATTTTAGGATTCTCACTGCTGCTACAGAGTTCGTGCACTGCGCTGAAATTTTTTGGACTCAAGTTGGAGTCAGAAGTAGAAAGGAGCCCTTATGGGTTACTACTCTTGTGCCATGATGTTGATCTATCGTCTTAACCAAACCAAACACATGATTTATAACTAATTTAACTGTCATCTGATGTCTGAAAGAGGGTACTAAAATGTTGTGTAAAACCTATATTGCTGTATGGTAGTAAATCATGGAATATGAATGCACAAATTCAAAAGAAAGTAGAGGCGATGGAGATGGGGTTCCTCAGACAAATGTTAAGAATCCCTTGGACTGACAGAGTAACTAATGAGGATTGCTTGTAAGAAGCTAATGAAAAAAGATCATTACATACAGCTATAATGAAAAAACAAGCACTGTTCTTTGGTCATGTGATGGGGAAGGGGGGGGGGAAGCTTTAGAGAATATTGTGACAATTGGGAAGATCAACGCTAGAAGACGGAGAGGCAGACCGAGAGATGCAGACCGAGAGAGATAATGACAGATGGATTACGTGGTGGCATGTAGGGATATCATTGGTGGAACTGATCCAGGAGACAAGGGACCCAGATCTGCGGAGATGCATGAATACCTATGCCAGTTAGCAGGGCACTTGATGATGATGATGATGATGTCCAAAAAGTTAAGTTTGAATCTTCAGTTGAAAGATAAAATGAATGCATCTAAAAAAATGAAATAATTACAAAACAGAAAATCCAATTATCTTAAATGTTGAAGCAATAGAGGAAGTTGAAGAATTTGTGTACCTCAGAAGTAAAGTTACTTCAGATACAGATTCTGAAAAGGATGTAACATCAAGAATAAACAAAGCAAATCAAGCATTTGCCATGCTTAACAATATATAGAAGTCAAAGGGATTTAGTTTAAAGACAAAACTTAGAATATACAAGAGCAACATTTTAGGAATACTATTATACAACAGTAAATGTGGAAAATGACACAAAAACATTAGACTTTTCAAAATAAATGTTTAAGGAGAATTCTATGAATATTTTGGCCAAACAAGATAACAAATAAAGAACTGAGGAGGAAAACAAAATGTGCATCACTGTTATCAATGTTATCAAATGTTATCAAAGTAAGACAATGGAGATGGCTTGAACATGTTTGCAGAATGACTTGTGACACTGGCAAAAAAAGCTCTCCGGCGGACAGCAGATGAGAAAATGAGACGTGGATGACCTAAGGAAACCTGGAAAAGGACAATAGAACGGGAAATGAAGGAATGTAAACTGACATGGTTTACCATGGGCAGAAAAGCAGCAGACCGGCAGCAATGGAGATCACTTGTGAATGCCTTATGTGTCAACAGGGACATGAAGAGGATTTAGATAGATATAAAATAACGCCTACAAATTTATGTATAATTTTTGTTAATCTATACCAGTCAAGTATAAATTAACAGAATGTAAGTAGTTTATAGGAAATGATAGATACAATTATGTATTTTCTGCTAGATTATTGGAGAAAACAGTTGACATATTAAAATAGTTTTATATCTGTTTGATAAATCTTGTAGATGAAAAAAAAAAGCATGCAAATATTTTCTGTATAGTAATCAAGACTGGGCAGAAAATTGTCTGTTATTTAATGGACTTCAAAAGTGATAAA